ATTTCTGTGTTACTTAGACTCGGATGAGATTTTGTTATAACGAAGTTGGTTGGAAAGCAAGGAATGAACATCCATGCTGCTTTGGGAAGATTTCGTAAAATTTGATGCTTAAAATTAATCAGTCAGAAGTGTAGTAGAGACATTATAGTAAAGTCAGCACCTTTTGGCATTCCGACATGTTCATTACATGCTGTACATTTGATTCTTTACTTCTCATCTGGACCATTACTTACAGTCAAGCCAGGTCAAGTGTACCCCCCAAGCTCCCATTAATGAATTTATTATTCGAAAGTTGAATCCGTTGATAGTTGTAGATTTCAGATTCATCTCTGCATTCTTGCATGCATAATGAGCCGTGAATTCACACATGAGGCAGTTACGAAATTTCTACCAACTCAGTTTCCCTGAATTTGATGTAAATGTCTTCTAAGAAATATAATCCATTCAAAGATTTTCAATGTGACCTAATACAGAGAAGTTCTCGTTGAATATTCACTGCCCATTACGCATGCAGAAATGCTGATTTGAATTTGACAAAAGATACAGGAATCACTAACAGATTCATTTTTCAAATAATCAATTCATTAATAGAATCTTGAGGGGTACGCTTGACCTGCTCTGACTGTAACAGTGAGCAAAGAAAGTCGTGTCCAGTAGCCCAGGGCTAGTGGATCTTGCTATCGGGCTAGTGATTTTTGTTCTTAACTTGCCCAACGGGCAAGAACTGTTTTTTTGGGAAACAAAATTACAGAAGGATTGTAACCAATCCTGCTAATCAAAAAGGGTTTTGGGGCTAGGTGAAATGACTTGTGAGCTAGTACATGCTAGCTACAGCTTGCCCGAATGGCAGGCTGTAAAACTGACTTTCATTGCACCCTGCTCAAGGATCAACACACTGTCCATACCTCATGCAGTTTCTGTGCTATTTCTTTGTTCCACACCCGCCACACTGATTTGAAAATAGCAGATCCAGCGACAAAGCCAACACCTGCACTGGCCACACCACAGAGACCACTGAAGATCATAGGATCCATTCCTCTAGAAAACCCAAACAATAATAAAAAATAAGGATATTCATCCTAATAAAAACAGTGCTCTCTAAAAAACTTACAGTAGAAGGACCGACTGCTTTACTTAAAACTTTTGCTCAATACATTGATAATAACAAGATGAACTAACCAGCCGTTAATGGAGTGCTTAATAGGGAATAGCGCTCGCTTCCCCCAATTCAACTGTTAGAACGTTAGAACAAATCGTTAGAGCGTTTGGATAAATCGTTAGAGCATTTGGACAAATCGTTAGAGCGTTAGAACAAACCATTAGAACGTTAGAAAAGCCCTTAGCTATCCGTTAGTTTTCTAACGATAACGAAATATTGTTAGTTTACGTTTTCCCAAGGAAGGTCACAAATTTCCTGTGAGCAGCAATAGTGTACCTTATTGGTACTTAATTTTGTGGGTACTTAATTTCAAGATTTTAGAGAGACTAGTTCAAGGTTTGTTTAGAATATTCCAGCTACGCTTCTCACTTTCTGTTTCATGCGAATCTTGTGACATGCAAATCAGCTAAGAAATGGTATCTAATACGCTTAGTGCATCATCTGACTGTGTCCCTTTAAGACATTTTTTAAAATTTTAAAGTACACTGTAACAAGCAAATGCATATTTTTTGAAAATGATTTTTAATGGATTATAACACAGATATGCATTTTCTCAGTACATAGTTTGCAGCAAAGTTTCTAAACATCATCCTATCATTGCAATTATCTACAAATGGATCTTTAGGTGACATTTCCTCTGAACCATCAATTTCTTTACTGACGCCCACCTTCTTCCATCCTTTGGCAATTGATTTTCTCAGGGTAATTTGAATTTTCTATATGGCTATTGAATTGGCCTGTTTAAATCTCACAAGGATTTTTGTTCTGGGTCTTTAATTTTGCAATAATTGTTGCAAAAAACGCGAAATTAAAGACTTGCAAAATTAAGTACCAATAAGGTAGATACAAAAATATCACGAAAAAGGGTACCTTTACAACTTGCAGGAAATGAGTCATGATCTTCAGATTATGAATGCAAATAAAATGTTTTTGCCCCCATTAGAAGCTTTGTGTCAAATTAATTTTTAATCCCAATCATTCTTTGAGCATTGTTAGAATTTTTACATTTGGTTTGTCAGCCAGTAGCCGGGTTTGTTTCACGGCAGTCCCGAATTCTAACCTCCTTTAAGCAATCTGCACTTGTAGGGGGTCACGAGGTCAGTTTCCTTCAATTGAGATTGTTTCGATTGTTAAGTTAATTTGATTTATTTGTTTCATTTATTTGCTCGACCTGAAAATACTTTGTGCTATAAATATGATTCCTCTGCTCATCCCACATCAGGGTTCTATCTAGGATTTATCATTTGGGGAAGAAGTCCTGAGTGGCCGAAGGCGACAAGCCTCCTCGATGGGTCTGCCCCCCCCGGAATTTTTGAAATGAATATGCACTGAGATGCAATCTGGTGCATTTTGAGACACAATTTTGAGAAATGTTACAGTGTGTGCACAAACCTCATCGCATCTTGATGATTTTTTCGATATAGTTACTTATATACTGTAATGATAACAATATTTTTGGGGGGAAAGCTGAGCACTTTGGGGGGGAAGCTTCTACCCCTCAAATGCCCTAGATAGAACCCTGCACATTAAGAGATACAAGTCACACAACTTACAGTATTGGTTGGATCTGTTCTGGGGTTGCATCAAACATGTTTGGGAACAAATAAGCACACGCGCAAGACGACGCTAGCAGACCTGTCACACCAAACGGCAGCCCAGCCAACCTCTGAAGTGTACGCAGCTTTCTTCTTCGCTTCTGGTACTCGTCGAACGAAAGCTGAAATCTTTTCGGCGTCACCTTGTTGCCACTGAAGAGAGGACTTCGGGAAACAGTGGGAGACTTCTCGCTGTCAGTAACCTCCTCGACCGGAGAGTTTGTTTCCGAAAATTGACGGCTGGCGATTGCTACACATGGAACACTTGATCTGAGTCCTGTCCGAACTACGAGGAAAGTCTTTCTAGCGGTTATACTGCCAGTTAGAAAACTCCGAAAATTTAGCACTGTTCCGGCCGCCATCTTAAATATCGAGAATTACCCACAATGCAGTAGCTTTCAATAAAATACCGCTGTAATCTTGCAGGCGTATTTCGTTTCCAGGCCCAACACTTCTATTTGGAAACGATTCACTGCACGTAAAAGATCGCGCATTTTTCGAAGTCTTAAATTTTATTTTAAAAGACAGAAAATGGTTCGATGGCTACCTCTAGAATCAAATCCAGATGTAAGGTTAAACCTTGTACTTTTATTCGATTTCAAGTCATTTTTGTTGCAGCACATTGTGAGTTGTCTTTTTCGTTCTCTTTATTCCTCTTGAATTGTCCGTGCCGTTCCTGATCCTGCTAAGGTCATGAACAAGGTAAGCCTGTTGTTAATAAACTATTTTTGAAGCTGTTATGATTCATCCGTTTGGGAATCAAGTTGTGTTGAAATGATAAGATCTTGACTGCTTATCATTAATCAACTCGAATCCCCTAGCTTTAATTTTCAACTACTGTAGCCTTGGGTGTTGTTATTCTAGGAAAATCACTAACATTTCAGTTTCCAAGAAAAATTCTTTCGCTACTTTTTAGAATGTAACTAGATTTACTTTTCTGATCTTTTAAAATGATTGGCCAGGTTAAAATTAAAATTTTGAATGTATTTGTGTTGGCATGTAGCCTCTTACGGTGTGAATGATACTCAGCTAGAACAGAATGTCAACTACATGCGAAACAGGAAGTGCCTGCCTCTAGTCATCGGTCACCATTCTAATACCAATACTCCCATTATTATGTTTGAGGCAACAGTTTTGGGGGACCTCTGATAAAATCAGACATTTCCGCAAATATTTCAGGGATATATGTGCTGGACTTGACTGAATCCAGTCCCTTGTTCTCAGATGTTCAAAGACCTTAAAGGTTTCTCTGTGGGACCACATAATTTTGTGCCAGTCAACTGATGTCATCACCTGTTATCTAGAACATGGCTCTGATTTTTGGAAAGACAAATTGTTTTGTAGCATCCCAAAGGAGAGTGAGTCTCTGATCAATGGATGTTCTCAGCTTGAAGACCCCTCTAGCCCCTAGCTACAGACTAACTGTGCTAACTTAAAGCCATTATGGGTGGCAGGAAAAATGTCTCTTAGTTGTCAAAAGGGTTAACTTCTGGGCATCCTACATTCCTCCTTACGCACATTCCTTTTACTCCTCTGCTTATATTCTTGCACAGAGCAATGATGCTCTTCCCCCACTGTCAGATATAGCAAGAAAAAAAAGAGAAGAAAAGAAAAAAGTGGTCAAGTTAAAAACAAAGTTTATGTTTATGAGCTTCCCACATCATTTCCGGTGAAAAGTCTAGGAAACAACATGTGAAATGAATTTTTACATATTTTTAAGGTCTTGCTTTTTTCTTTCATTTTCCATCACAGTTTGTCAATAATCTTGGTCTGAAGCCAAGTTGGAGTTTTGTTGATGTCATTGGCCTGGACCCTGAATTACTGGCAATGATACCACAGCCAGCTTGCGCCCTTTTGCTTCTCTTTCCAACAAGTGACAAGGTACTGTTTCACTTTTCAGTTTAACAAAACAACAACAATTTTGCATGGTTCGTTCTCTTATCATCTATAGAAATGTCTGTCCAAATGTGCAAAACACAAGTGAAACCACAAGGCAAATGGTTTCACTGAGTAGTTTTTTAATCATTAGCATCATTTCTATGGTTGATAAGATCACAGACCAAAGAAAAATGTTGTTGACTTGTTTGTTTGTTTTTGCATGCACGAAAGAGGAAACCAATTTGCATCACCACCACTTCACTTTCATTGCCTGTACTCCCACTGAACATAGCTCACAATCTTATGCCATGGACTAGTTAGGAAAAATCTGTTGCCACCACTGGTCCTCTTTCCATGATAAGTGTAGTTAACTTGTCAAGTTTAATAAATGATATGTCCTAAGCAGATAGCGAAGATATAGGTCCACAAACCAGGGGGTTCATTAAGGGCCAGGCACCGGGCAAATTGACCGGCTGTGAACACGACTTTGCCCGGCTGCTTTACATCTCAAAGAACTTCTTTTTAATACAAGGAACGATCAAAAACAGTTTTAAGTTACAATCGTGCCCTTTTCTTGATGAGTCTTATCGAGTGTAAAACATACTTTGCCGGCAATTTCCACTTTATTACACGCGGAATGAAATCCCCTCATTCATTAAATGTGTTAAAAACAAGAATCGCCCCATAACAGATTGCGAAAAGAACTGTGATTCATAAATGACCACTTGAAATGTATCAGTGTTGCGAGCACGTGAGCATGGCGGCCCAGAAAAGAACGCGTTCGATAGCGGATTATTTTTCGGCTTCAACCAAAGGGCCTCCAGTAGAGAAAAGGCCAAGAGGTGAGTAGACTTCTTTGTGCTTTAACCTTTTACTTGCCTGTATATAGTGAATGGCTTAATCATCATGTTCAACAAAGCGAAGCGTGATTTTTTATTCGTCTTATGGTTTACGCCAATGAATTAATTTTCGGTGCGTTCACGTTAAAACAATGCTCCTACCGTCTAGTCATTGAAATTTTAAAGATAAGATGTAGGCTCTGACCCTGACTCTGATAACGGCTCAGATGCTGACAGTGACTTTGAGTAAAGATTATTATGAGCAGAGCTATTAAAAGAGAACCAAAAAGTCCAATTTGTGTGGTGGGTATTGGTATCAAATCATGATTGAATTGTCTAGAAAAGTTATCTTTTTTTGGTTGTTGAAAGTCATTTTCTGCAGCTTCAAAATGCAGGAAAACACATCCCTGCGACTATAGAATTTCAAAATTTTCTGGGGGAACATGCCCCCGGACCCCCCTAGGGGGCAAGGCCCTCCAGGCCTTGCCAATTCTTTGCCCGGGTGTCAAACTCAGTTGCCCTACTGTTCAAAACCTTAATGAACCCTCTGTTGGGACAATTTACAGACAAAAATAGGTTGAGTTTGATCGTCCGCATGAACGTAGTCCGGCCACGTAGTCCTGAATAGGACTGTTGTTGTTGACAGTGACTGACGTTTCGACAACCTGTGCGGTAGTCATCTTCAGAGTCAAAGTGAGTTGTATCACGTCAGTTGATGATATTATACTCTGGTTATTGATCTGATTGGTCAATTACGTTGCGATGTTATTGGTCGTCTGTCAGTTAAGCCGTGATGTTATTGGCTATGAAGACTCGTAATCAGTAATATTGGTGCGTTTCAATCTGTCTATTGTCACAGTTAAACAGTCGTCTATTGTTAGTCAAATTGTCAGTTCTCCAGTCGTTCTCTCGTCGTTATTTTTGCTTGATCGCGTCAATAAGTCGTTTGTACAATTTACAGACATTTGTATAGTGGGGGGCAAGTTTGTGCTCCCCACCATACAAATGTCTGTAAAATTTTGCAACTTTGAGGTCAGCTATACCTTTGTTAGTTTTCAACAAATCACCTTCAGACTTGGCAATTTCACTCATTTTAAGGTGTTCTTTCTAGTGGTGGCAATGGATTCCATGTCAAAAGTTTGAAAACACCATAGAAAGGTCTATTAAAGAGCCCCTGGAAAATGTCCCTTAGCCCCCTACCCTTTGAGGGCTGACTGCTGACCAGCATCAGTTGAAGTGTGACCTTGCCTTCATTACATTAAGCCATATTTTAAGGGAGATAATGATTGCCGTATTGTTTTTTTTGTTGTGTTGAGTGAAGAGTAGCTGTTGGAGATAGATGTAGGACCAATCAAAAACATTCCCTTAATACTATTTTTAAACATGTTTTTACCTGTTATTTGTTTTATTAATATTTTTGGTTTGCAGTATCAGGAGTTCAAGAAAGAACAAGAAGACAAAGTTTTGAAGAATGGACAGGTTTTTTTTAAATAATTACTTTTAAAAGAGTGGTTGTGATATCGTTATCCACTTCTATGAAAACAGTAACTATCTTCATAGAGCCTTTAAAACCTTTAAAGGGTTGTTATAATTTGTCTACAGAATTTATGCATGCCAAGGAGTTATGAAGAACAGTTGAGCAAAATTAATTAGCGTTAGTATCCCATACTGATGTTCAAGAGGGAAAGGTCTTGAGTCATGCAGAAAAATCATTCAATCATTATTCAAGTGTTTTTGTGTGGCCATGACATTGATCATTGTTGTCTTTAGGAAGTGAGTCCCAATGTATACTTTATGAAGCAGACTATAGGAAATGCTTGTGGAACAGTAGCCATTATACACTCCATTGCTAACAACACAGATGTACTAGAGCTTGGTAAGGATCAATATTTATACCCCATGGAGAGGTACATTCATCAGGGCACCTTACATAATTCATGTGATGGTGCAATTTTGCCCAGTCAACTTCAGATGGCACCCAGTTGCATAATCAACAACAAATATCATCATAAATTTAAAGATAAAATGCATACCAAATTTTACTGTAGACTTTTCCTTGTTACAACAAAGGAAAAAGGAGGTGTTTGTACAGAGGCTAATTTGAAGGCTGTAAAAAAGGTGGAGATGCTCTGGTTTTGTGATTTATTCATATATTAAAGACAGCCATTTACAGTAGTTAAAAGAGATGCAAAGTTCTATCTAGATATGTGAAGGGGATACCATTTGTCAATCGAAGATATACAAGAGGGGTACCTTTTCTGTCCAAAATGGTTTTAATAATAAAGGGGTAAGGGCACACTTGTCCTAAGGGCGCTTTTCCCTGGCTCTGGAGGTTGGGGTAAGGGGTTAAGCCTTGGGACCGAGCCTCCCTGTATGAAACTTTATTTAATATCATGCAGTGGTGCATCCAGACCTTCAGATAAGCGGGGGTGGAGGTCATGCAGACCCTGAGATAAGGGTGGGGGGAACAGTCTCAATAAAATTTTTTTGGCCCTTTGGGCCTCAGTTTGGTCTAAAAATAAGGGGGTCGGGCCCCCAGGCCCCTCCCTTGGATCCACCACTTTTGTGCCCCACTTCTGGGATCTTACCCTATGTGATGTTGAGTGTAATGATTTCTTTTATCCTACATAATGTAATAGAGGAAGGCTTTCTCAAGCGATTTATAGAATCTACCAAATCATTGTCACCTGAAGAAAAAGGAGCAAAGCTGGAGAGTGACGAGGTTGAAACAAAATTTTATGCTTTGTCTTTTTAACTATAATTTTTTTATATAAAAATGGAAAGTGCACTTAGCTTATCCAGCTAGTTTAGAGGCACTCCACTCAAATACTTAGAAACAAATAATTCAAATAATATTATAACATAACAGGATTAAACACCCCAACTGACAAGAGGCAACCAGTTGGCCATTTACAAGCGTGGCCGAGGATTTGAACTCGGGACGACCGAGAACAAATCCAGCAAGTGGCCAGAGTGGGACTTGAATCTGAGACCGCCGGATGGTGAGTCTGACGCACTGATCACTCGGCCAAGCTGCCTCCTTGCGTCCTTGCGATAAAAGATGAAAGGCGCTCTTTTGAGCCGCTTCAACGGATTTTTGCCAACTAAGTCCTGCTGGGTCTATTATTTTCTCACTTAATTATTACTCAATTTCAACCTTTTCTTTCTTTCTAGAACATAAGTGAGGCACATGAAGCCTGTGCACAAGAAGGGCAAACAGAGGTAAAACTTTCAAATATATATTTTTCTTACAAAAAGTGGCCTAGGATGAAATTGATGCTAAAATCCCTAATGATCATAAAGAGAATCCGAGCGGAGCAGAACTGTTACTACAAAGGTACCTTCACAAACAGCCCCTATAGGGGTTCCACCAGTAGGGTGGGGGGTATGCAGGGGCATAGCTACACATTTTTTTAGGGTACACATCTTTAAGAGGCATTGTTCCTTTAAAAATTTTGAAAACACGATACTGGGAAATGCTCATGTGCAGCCTACCATTCGGTACAATGCCCATTCCTTTCGCACAGTGGTTGATAAAGCTTTTCTTGTTTAATTCGCAAAGATGTTGAAGCCCAATGTGTTAAATGATGCAACCTGGTCATCCTGCTTGCCTTCCGCCCTTAACCCCCCCACCCTCAACGCTTTTTTTTACATTAGATTGACATTTCGTTCACATCTTAGGTAAAACCATTGTTTTTTGTTTCAAAAAATCTATAACTGAATGAAAAAAAAAGTTTCATTACTTCAGACGTTTCTTGTCTTTTTCGTTAATCTCTCACATTATTTTTCTCCGTAATTCTGGCGCGTGCCTGCTAGTGGTGTATGCAACGGCCACAAAACTTTCCCCGACCACCAGCCCGTATATTTATAGAGATTGAAACCTTAAAGTGATGTGATGGGACTCTTTGCACCGCAATGGCAATGACAAGAGGTACTTACTATTCACATGGGAAATTCTGTTTCGTACGCTTAGGCCAATATGGGCTGTGATTTGAGGCGATGTAATTTTTCTACTCTTTTTAGCCTGTTCAGCTGATTTGGATATACTTTGTAGCGTGTCGTTCTCCCACCACGTCAATTTTTATAGTTTTATGTTTAAATACACAAGATTTTCACCCAGGTGGATTGTGTAAATGGTAGCCATCGTGCTTGCCCACCGTCCAATTTCCCCCAACCGTGCTACATAAGATTAACACTTCGTTCACCTTTTAGGTTCAGCTCGGTGAAAACCAACGTTTTTCTCGGGTGTTGTGTTGAACTCGGTGCAACTCTGGCTGAATAAAACACATTACAATGCTCACAGAGAAATTTTCATTGCGTAAGTCAGACTAATAGGGACCTCAGAAACGTTTTTCGCAAACGCAGCGATACAAAAATCAGTGGGTGTCTTTCGGCCCTCGTCTAACTAAGCTAACCGGTGCAGTCAACAGTAGTTATTGGGCATAGAAATATGACCTTGCTTGTAACATAAAACTATAAGAAAAGGTTATAGCTCTGTATTCATTCGCGAATGTCTTTTTTTCAGACGCCGTCTGCTGAGGACCATGTGGATCTCCATTTTGTTGCCATCGTTCACAAAGATGGAAGCTTGTATGAACTAGGTAAGCGCTCTTGAACCTTTTAAGCGTAACCCAGTGTATCCTGCAAAGTGAGCTTATAATCCATGGCACCCCTAGGCTTATCATTGAGTTTATAAGAGGTTGGAGCCGGATGAAGAAAGGGAAACGTATTTGGGAAAGGGTCTTAATAAACGAGACTCAGTGGCGTTAAAGATAAATTAAGTCTACCCATGAACCCGAGTTTTTTCTCCATTTAATAATATTTTATTTATGAAGTTTGGTAACCAAACATCAAAGAATTGTGTTAATTCCGGTATGTGATGTTCCAGAAATGCAGTAGAATTCTTAGCCTGAAATTCATCCGATTGCTTCGAGTCGTTTTCTCCTCTCAACTGAGGGAGTAAACGACTCGAAGTAATCGGATGAAATTCGGCTATAGAATTCTTTACATGTATGTCTTCACAATTGTTGTTCGGCCCTCTCCTTGCGTCATACTTTCAAAACTTTCCATTGTAAAGCTTTTTAAAAGCTTTTATCTTACTGGTACACAAGGAGGACTGGAGGGAGGTTATATCTTTATTATCGCTGCTCCGTAACCGGATAGAGTTTTTAGTGCTCTGTGCGTTATTTTGAAGTGATATCTCGGGTTCATTTCAGCTTAGGGAGGCTGCTGTGATTCTGGTTTCTTATGAAACCTACTTCGTCGGTCCTATATGCCCTCAAAAACCTTTTATTTAACCCATTCCACAGATCTTCAGTGTTCTTTTCGAGACTTTTTTTAAAAGATCATCATAGATTTATAATCAGGAAATTTAAATTAACGTAAAGCAAAGACTTTAAATGAATGTTCTCTTTTAGATGGAACAAAAGCATTTCCAATAAATCATGGAAAAACTACAAAAGATACATTCTTGCAGGCAAGTATCAACTCAAAATAACTTTGTCGTGTTTGTTTTAGATGGGAGAAAATCATTTCCTATCAATCATGGAAAAACTTCGAAAGATACATTTTTGCAGGCAAGTGGTTTTAGTGGCAGAAACAACTCAGTGTTTTCAGTAACGACAATGAATAGGCGAGAATACCAAGTCTTTGCTCCTGGTATTTGTGGAGAGAAGGCAATTTTTATCTTTTGAAGTCTCCTACACATTCTTTGTCACGATGACGTAGACGATGAGAAAGTGAATACCCTGGGAATCAATGAGGTTGGCTAATAAACTTGAAGTGTGTGTAGCCGGTATAAAGGGCGGGAAAACTTGAGCGACAGTGAGACTGGAGTAAAAGCTCATTGGTTGAGAGAGTGACATGTTTTTTTTTAACTAATAACATTACGTATAAAACCAAAACAAAAGCAATTAATATTGCGATAAGAACAGTGTGAGAACGATTAAAAGTTACAGTGCCAATCTTGTCACGAGGGAATTCCATCCGATTCTTTCCTGAATTAGACACTGGTCGGGCGCTCAAATCACTTGAGCCTTGGGGAGACTCCTGGAAAGCTGGGCCATTTGCGAGGGGATATGTCACGAGGATAATGCTGTTTGAGGTCAATTCTGTGCTGAAGTCGTCGCTGAAGTCATTACTTAGTGCCTTCACTTATAAACAGTCAAATTTCGTTAGGGAGAACTAATGCACTTATCAAATGAGTTTAATAGTCGGGTAATGTAAGTTTGCTTGTTCGATAAAGGCTTCGATATCTGGTTTACTTATGTCCCTAGGGCAAAATTATCGTCTATGTGGCGTCTCCAAATTATTGGGTTAAAGACGGTTTTGCTTAGAATTGCTGTTTCAATATGTGCCTTGAAAAAGGTGGCAATGGAAACTGCTGTCCATGTGCCCATGGCAGTACCATGGGTTTGTGCTTTCCATTGAACTGGAAATAATTTTCTTTGAGTATTAATCGAAGCTTTTGCCGCAGGTTAGTGTGTAGGAAAAGGTGGGTTGTCTGCTAAAGAACTTACAGTGAGGAAACTAGGCACGAGTCAAATCCCCACCTCGTGCCTTCAAATACCCTAAAAATCTCCCACGTTCCGCCGGGTCGGGGGTTAGGATTTCAAGTGATAAGTGCGTAACCATAATAATTTTTTGCTGAGATTATTTTTGTAGACAGAGCATCAAAACTTGATAAAGTCAAGTTTATATGCTATCCGTAGTGATACACGGCAGGATACAGTTTCAGTGCCTAAATTATATAGTCACAGATAACAAAACTGGAACATTATTTTTGGAAGATACGTTTTAGCTTTTAAAATGATAGCAAAAAGCGCGACATAGTCCCTTTAATAAGTATTTTAAAAGTTAGGCCCAGTTCAGACGTCGTGCTTCTGCCGTGCCGAACTTAATTGTAATTCGGTTCGACTGTAGCACGGCAGGAAAAAAACTTTGATTCAGACGTCGTGCCAGAGTCGAACCAAAGTCAGGATTTACTGATGCCTCGTAACAATTTTCCTCCTAACTCCCCGTGGGAACGCAATGTCGCCAAAATACATTAATATGATTTAAGAATTTTGCTCAGCACGGCAGAAGCTCGACGTTTGAATCGCTGCCGTGCCAGAGCCGTGTAGCACGGCAGCGCTCTTCGAACTTAATTGCTTGCCGAACTTAATTCAAAAGTTTGATTCAGACACCGTGCTTCTGCCGTGCTTTTGTCGAACTTAATTCCTGAATTTAGTTCGGCACGGCAGAAGCACGACGTCTGAACTGGGCCTTAGAGTCAAATTTTAGGGAGCTATTAGCAAAGGCGTTTTCGGGCGACGCACGTTAACGGAAAGTGACTTTTTTGTGTTCTTGGACAGTGCTTTTGCCAAAATTTTTGGGCAAATCGTCTTTTGTTAGAGAAAATACACTCAACAAGAACGCTATTACAGCGTTAATCAGTCTCGCTTGGTTTGAGATTAGATCGAGAAAGGAGGAGGCGCTTAATTCTACACGAAACAGTATTTACTCGCTGAAGGTTTATTACTTCCTACTTTATCTATGTCGATACTTTTTATTTGTTTCTGAACTGATTTAGTACGCGTGTTCGCGACGACCGGAAATACGTTTGCGGTAGCAGGCTATACGCGTGTATAAATACTCGAAAATTCAAGTGCCTCGATTCCAGAGAAATTAAACCATTGCCAGAGATCAACAAAGTGATTTACATGGCATGTCATTTCAATCATCGCCGAAAATGAACCGCATGCTCATCACAAGACGCCATTTGCATACAATGAAAGTGTACAACGCCCGACCATCGCAGTTTGCTTAAGATTCTTTTTTTTTTTCCGACCACTCAGTGGTGTTCACTTGTTCCAAAGTAACCAACGCTTTCAAGCGATAGAATTCGTGGACTGACACGTTTCGGAACGGCTCAAAATTTAATCTTTCCAAAGCTTTCTTCAAAACATGCGTGGCTTCGATCACGCAAAGATTCTTAGTCCCGGTTTCCATGGTCTCCGCAAGGAACGCGTGGCGCAATGACTCCCCATTTGTGTGCAAGATAAGACGAAAAATGCGTTGCAGATTATGCGTCTCGCTGCTTACGCAAGCGAGACTAACAATTCAAATGTGGTAGCGTCAAGGCATATTTAACTTCCGGTTGACGTCACTTCCGGTTGACGTCCGTCGATCAAAAACATCTATGCTTAAAGGGACTGGTTCACGATAATGCGCATGTGTGAGTTCTGACAGTAGCAGATTGTTTTTAAACCAGTCGGAAACGAGTTAGACGCACGCAAGTAAATTTACAAAATTTAAATTCATTGTTCGCGACGCGAGAGTATTTCCGGGCATTTGGTTTGATTTTATATATCCCCATAATTCAAGTTTATTCTTTGCTACTGCTCAGATATATGTTGCAGCCGATAAGAGTAAGATTTACAGCCCTGTCCTGCTTTGAAACAAACATAATGAAATGCGTGATCACTTGTTATTTTCAGGATGCTGCCGAGGTGTGCAAGGAGTACATGAAAAGAGATCCAAGCGCACTTAACTTTACAGTGGTCGCTCTCTCTAGTACGCAATAAGAATGATGGGGTCAAAAAACCTCTCCTTCCTAGATGAGCGTCCGGATTTTGTTTTTTTACAAAGATGAAATAAATTATGATGATATTCTTTAAATTATAGTTTAAATTATAGTTAAAGTTTTCCGTCACCAAAATGCATTAGAATAAACTTTTGGTTTGCACAATACCAGTGAAGTAAAAACTGTTGAAGTTATATCATGAACTGTAGTTCGCGTGTTGTTGTTGGGAACTGAAAGGGGTGGTTAGTGATGGGTATATTTTTTTCGTGCCTCGAAACAAAGCCGTGTTTACAAGAGCACGTTTCCTTGACAGAGAAAACTTGCCCGTGTCATGGGGTTAAGAAAAGACCAATACGTCTTCTAATAGGGGGGAGGGGGGTGCGGCCGAGGTGGATAATACCCTCTTAGATCAATCTTTTCCTTCATACCATACGAAAGCCGAATTCAATAACTGTTTTTATTATTCATTTAAAATATTTCCAAGCTCTTAACAAGCGTATCTCCTCATAGACTTTTCTTTCTCGGCAGTTTCCTAAGATAGAATTTTTTTTCCTTTAAATATTCGTCAAAAAGTAGTTGAGATTCATCGAGTAATAGATATGCGTGTAAGCGTCTTGAACCCCTTTAATTTCCTGAGAGTCCAATAGCTTGCAAGGCAACGTTTTCGATCCAGTTATCGGCGTAAGTTGGAGCGAGGACAGAAAAAAAAAATGATGGGGCGGGAAAGGGGGGAGGGGGGTGTCCGGCAAGTCACTGTAATGAATTATCCATGACTGTAACCATGTTAAGAAAAAAAACAAATTTTCTCTTAGAAATAGGCATGTGATATTCTCTTTTGGATAGAATTATTATTGACACCAACTGATAACATATTTAGATAATTTCCTGAACTGTGACTTATGTTTTTACAATTAAACTGAATTTCATTTGTAAAAATTATAAATTTATGCCCATTCCCTTCTTAATGATGATTCTAAAGGTGAATATGTGGATAAACAATCTTAAAAGCATTCAATGCTTATCATTATTTTCTTCTGATACTGTTCACTAATTATCTCCACATGTGTCCAGGATTGAGCACCATTTAAAATTTAACGACCTTAAAAAAGCCATCGAAAGATCGCACGTTATCTTTTAGCCCACCTTACATTTACTTAATTTCGCAAAAAAAAAAAAAACGAAGAGAAAGATTTTGTGAGACTGTTAATTAGCAGAAACATCGTGTTAAAGGAATGCCCCATAATGCACTCTGTTTGCGAGTTCTCTCAAGCCCCGGTTTTAATGCGAGGCTTAGTGCAAAGCCACTGATATGTTTTTCCATTCTGATGACAATAAAACTACATTTCACAACGAAGGTTTTGCATTTGGCCTCGATTTGAAAGTGAGAGCTTTTAGAACTTGGAAATAACCTACTGGGGAAGTTACTGTCGTTATATGCTCTTAAGAAATAACAACTCTCCCTGGAGTATTTCAAAACATGCAAAATAGGGCGCAAACAGAGTTTATTACGGGGGATTGAAGACTAGAATATAAGGTCGACACAGCCCTAAAACGGACTGATAGAGTTGGCTCCTTACATTGTCCAGTCGCTGTTGACAGTATTATAACATCCTCCTAAGAAGTACTTTCATGTAGTGTTGTTCATAAGTCTGTACAAGGGGATGATAGGAACCTTACGATCCAACAATGGCGACCTCAATGGAAACTCGACTTTGTGCTCTTTCAAACCGTTTCCCAATCTTTTCAACTCGTTCACTTGATTAAAATTAAGCACATGCCCAGGTAGATCAGTGTAGTAAAATTTATAGCCTTTCCGTTCACGTTTTCAAGAAGAAAATTTAACATTTAGTCATTTCAAGTCGTAGTTGTCTAGGGACGGTCAAGAAACAACACAAAAGCACTTTTGGCCCTATTCACACTACAGACGGATTATCCGTTTGATAATTCGCGTCATAGAGATAATACCTCTTAATTTGACAAATGGAACGGTCTTAATTTTAAATGGACAATCCGCCTGACTTTATCCATCCGTTTTTCCGTCAATTTTGAGGATTTTGAAGATGGATTATCCGTCTCTAGTGTGCACCATTCAGGTGAAGACATGTTGTTTTGCGAATTTATGACATTTCGGTTTCTGTCGCCATTGTGGTTTCGTTGGGTTCCTAATAACTTTAACTCAGTGGTTGTAATCCTTGATTATGGCTACGTAACTGAATCATAGTACTTTTCTCAAGTTCAATTCTAATATGTTTTAGGAGGGAAAAGTGAACGTTGACATGACTTATGTCTCTGATCTGGTGATAATTCCCTACTAACATCACTTTTAAAAACACTCTTCGTCCCAATCAGTGAGTTAATAGTCGTACACGTAGCGCAAGACTCGGCCTTTTGGCAAACCACTGTGTTTGTTAACAGGCTGAAACAGGCTCGTTGCATGCAGTTCGCAGTCACATGACTGGCTTGGGGTATTTTCTCCGTTATTCAAACCACCATAAAAACCCACTGTTAAGTGTTTAAAACCTAAAGAAAAGCAGACCCACTTTTGGGTTTTATGCCCTTTCAATCTCTGGAGTTTTTATGATTGTATCCCATAATTTTGGCATGAGAATGTGGAATGGGTGACATGAACCCGAGCTGTAAAGGGCTTTTTGAAATTCGTCAGTACTATCTGCCAGTAACTCCCACTTCGTCAACACTGCAATGTTCACAAACGCAGTACCCGCCAAAACATATATTCGTGCGCACCGTGCATTTCAAAGGGTTTGAACAGATTTTTGGATGCAAAATTAAGACTTTCCAATGTTATCAAATAAGCGATCGACAGAAATCTCGACAAAAGCAGGAACTAGGCTTTTCCCATGAGGCACCCCAAGAATACAGTAACCACAATCAGAAGCATAGCCACAATGCAATGTGGATATAAGAGAGTTTAAGTTCTGAAACTTCTCATTCTGAGATCGAATGTTTTGGCTACAAACGAGATTAAGAAAGATTTGACAACCGGAAAACATTCACTTAGCAATTAACCTGTTACGGTTTTGAAAGAAACAAACACACTATTTACCAATTTTTCCACACTAAATATATATTTCCCAGACTTTTTCAAGGTATGGAAAATTGGTTTGCAAATTTCAAGACTTTCAATACCATGTGGGAACCCTGGTGCGATTACAAATCTCGGTTATTGCGTCTTTGTATCTGTTAGTTACCACAAAAACAATATTCTACGGATAATGTACAAAAAAAAAAAACGAAAACAAAAAATGCCCGCCTCTCCTGATAAAAATTCCCTAATATGTCTTTGCCAAATTAAAAATTCATCTTTTGCTGACCAGTGCCCTTCATTTAAATTTCTTTAGAATTTTGTAACACTGCTTACAAACCGGAACCCGGTTATCTGAATAATGTCCCGGAAGTGAGCACTGTTTATCAATACATCGTTTACAAAACACTTCTCCACAGTTCCAGCAATGATACTGTTGAAAGATAGAAAAGAACAGAAAAAGTTAGCACCTTTCAGTGCACTATAAGTAAGACCGTGATTTTACAGCTGGCCCCAGTTGTTCAAAAGGTGAATAACGCTATCCAACAAGAACATAGTTCAAAACCACTTAAACATAGCATTGTCAAACGTAATTGAGTATTTAAACGGGAGATATAGGCATATTTTTATCCCCTAGAAAATTTCTCATCTGTTCGGATTTCCTAGCTGAAAGTCTAGAGATCCGAAAATTATAGGGATCAGAACTTATCGTCTCGAAATTTTCAGCCAGAAAGGCTCCCGAAAATTCTAGGTGACCTTTTTAAGGTAAAAATCCGTTTAAAATGGGCAATTATTCCATTTTTTAGATGTTCTAAAATCCTAGGAGAGGCAGGCAAGCAAGAAATTTAACAACAAATGTTCCGAAAATTCTAGATCTCAAATCGTCTTCCGAACAGATATTTTCCGAAAATGGACGTTGGGTGCCCCTGATCCAATGAATGGCGCAATTGGTTTCCCTAATACTTATCCGCTGGATAGTGATTTTTCCGGTGGATGGCGCTATCCAACGTTTGAGCAAGCCGGGCCTGGTCAATAAGTGATAATGATGCTTTTTTTTCTGTCGGTGAAACAGCCAATTGAGGCAACTCGGACAAAATCCGGGTTCTCCCAACAGGAGTCAAACCTATGACCTTCTGGTTACAGACAAGACAAGTGTCCGTTTTATCGAGGTGTCTAAGAGAGAGTCGACTGTAGTACTTTATTACTGCGCTTTTCAAAAACACGAGAACTCTGAAGTTCAAAAGTCGCCTTCATAAATGCGTTTTCGGCTGCCGTTAATCATAATTACGATCACAAGCAACGAACCTTGAAACAAAGAAACACGCAAAACCGTTCGAAATCCACCAATCACAAATCACAGACCATGACCTTTTGAGCCCGTTGAAGTAAACTTCTGTTTCCTAAGAGGTCCGCTGAGATGATTGACGGCAGCGAAAAACGTAAATGTCAGTTGGGTTTTGAACTTCAGAATTCGCGTGTTTTTGAAAAGCGCGGTAAGTAAAATTAAAAGTTTTGTAGAAACCGAACATTTGAACATAATTTCTAGAATTAAAAGTGTGAGGCCTTTAACTCGCTATCTTACCTTTCGACTAAGAAAATCAATAGGAGTCGCACATGTCAAGCACTGAAACACATTCCTGGCAGATTTCCAGCTGACAGCAAATGGCGGTGCAGACTGCATTAAGTCTTCAACAGTCAAACCTTGTCGCTTTAAAATTAGCTGTAAGTCGGTTGGAACTATTCTTCCTTTCCCGCTATCCTGACTTGAGTTGCTTGCCTCGCTCGCGCACACGCTTGGCAAAGACGATGACAGACTTTCATGACTGTTAACTAACGAGTCTGTTTCTAGTCCCAGTTTATCCACGGAATTCTCAAGCGAGGTTGACTCACATGACAAATCAACCGATGATTCACAATTCGAGTTGAGACATTTCATTTCTAACGAATTCTTGTCGCCGTCAAAGTCTTTTGGTGAAGAATTGTTGAGAGCTTTCATCATCTTAATGCGCTGTTGAAGCAAAACTGTTCAATTAGTCCATTTTTCACCATGACAATTGGTCTTTCAAGCTTCGAAATCGCAATTTGCACATCTCCATCTCTTGCGGGGGCAAACAAGGTGTATTATGGGAGATGAGCTAATGGCAAATTTATCAATAGCACATGCTCGGCCATGAAAATGCATGTTGAAAACCATCAGTAATTCAATTTAATTTAATTGAAATTCAAATTCAAATCCATTTTCACAGCATACAAGTCATTATAATCAGACACGAAGAGATTGGGGGGAGGACTTGCAGGGAACAGGAGAACCCTACGACCTAGTCCACCCTATTTAAAAATGAGTTACAATGTAAAAAAAAAAAAAAAAAGAGAGAAAAAGGAGTTCAGTGTCAGAAAAAGTAACATTTATGATAAAAGACTACACTACGGCGTAGAGTATGTAAACCTGAGCAAGCTTTGTGCACCAAAAGGTTTTTCTTTTCTGACTTCTGCAGAGTTCTTACTTAAAGGTCGACTAACGAATACCACCACAAAAAAGCCAACAATTGTTAATAGGGCGTTTTCACTCACGTGGCCAGCATCTTTGCAAATTTATTGAACAAAAGGAGTCGTTTACATAAGAAGAATGTTTAACTCCCACAGGACTGGTTTGGACACCAACATGGCCGGCGTTTCATTGTTTTGGGACACCAATATGACCGCCGTGACGTCATGTGAAAACACTCTATGGGTGCGTTCCTTTGGGATGATCCAGATTGGGATCAGTGATCCGAGATCACTCGGATCATGGTAGATCAAATGAACTGATGAATCCACTCTGGACAAGGATTCATCGGTTCATTTGATCTACCATGATCCAAATGATATCGGATCACTGATCCTGATCCGGATCATATCAAAGGAACGTACCCTATATCTGCTTACCAAAGTTAGCCTGCGAATACAACCGCATTTCATACCTCTCCATCACTGATGAAGTCTCTCTCGCGAAACGTCCCCAACGACGGGGAGCGATGAAAGACAGTAGTACTCCCAAGCTAACAAGAGGTTCAACTCCAACACTTTGACTCGAAAGCAAATTTTTGGTAGTAGGGAGATTAAGCAACTACGACGACGACGAAGACAACTTCTTATAAGAGTAGATTTAATGATCAAAACAACGGCTCTGCCCGTGCATCACGATTTTAGCACATTTCTTTGACGTCCATTGCACGACTGCGAAGTGAAACCTCCTATTTGACGTTAGGCTGATTCAGCAACAGAACGGGAACGTCAGTTGACGACGGCGCGCACAAATCAAACAACTGCTTTGACCAATGGCAGAGCGACAAATTGGGCACCGGAAGTCGAGTTTAGTCGTTTCCGCGCGCTTTCCCGTCGTCAAATGACGTTCGCGTTCTGTTGCTAAATCAGCCTGTTTTATGGAGGGCGTGGACGTACGACGACGAATTTTCCTTCCTCTTTTTGAACTTGAACAAAATCCTTAAGAATCCAACTCCAGGAAAAGTCGCCTACATTTGACATATTGAGCGAGTCCAAATAGACGCCATTAAGTTTGAAAGAACGCAAATTCATTTTTTTAGAGACGTTTTCGCTGCCGTCGTCGTTATCGTTGCTTAAGGTCCCTAGTTTCGTTAGGTGGTCACACGTGGAGGTTAGGTTGCGTTTGTTTTTTCAAGGCTTAGATGCCCGGCTGAACATACTTACAGAAGAAAGAAATTTAATGTGATCTTGCAGTGAGTCGTTATGATCTATGATGCTGCTGAGAGAATCCAACACTGTCTCGCGTGGATGAAGATCATTATCATATCGGTTGTACATTGAACGCCAGAACCTGCCGATGAAACAGTTTACACATAATTATACAAATATTATAAACTCGCGCAGTTTAGTTTTGCGTCTTTAAAGGGAAAGGTTTAGAGGACCAAGCAGTGGAACTTCAAAACACACTTTCTACTCTGGGGATAACCACAACAGTCAGTCAAAGTTATAATATCCAAACAGCCGCCAGGTTTAATAGCAGGTTTTCTACGCCGAATCCTCATACCCCGGCCTCAACACCACCCGGGATTTTAAAAAAACCTGTACGATCACGCAGGCTGTTTGTCCAGATAACCCTGACCCATTTTTCGATGGTGTCAAACTATCGCCTTTGTCTCCTTTACCCTTAAGGTTGATTTCCAGTGTCGCGTAATTTTTACGTGCGTCAAATTTACGTTTGCAAATAAAATAGAGGCAATGCATGAAAGGTCGCTCATAAGCGTAAAAGCTGAACCTCGCTCAACTCTCGTTTAAGCTCAGCTCTTTTGATCTTGGCTTTATTTTATTTACGTGATTAAAATTTACGTGCGTTAACGTGCGTATCCAAAAACGCGTCAGTGGAAATCAACCTCGACTCACTTACTTGAGTACTTGCGGTGAGGTACTGGGCCATAATAACTCATCCGCGCCTCCTCTGTACAGCGGATTAGCGTAGTCACTGATGTTCTGCCACATGTAACCCCATAATGAATATGTCTTCTCCGCTAGTCTGTAACAAATATCGGTATCGGTCACCCCATTTAATTTATTAACTGGTGCTAAAGTGTTTAGGTTAGAAGACGATCCTTCTCTGAGTAATTTACACTACTCTTGAAATAAACTTACGAGTCATGTAGTAAAGCTGCGTTTTATGTCAAATCATAGAGACGAACAGAGATGAAATGAAAAAAACAACTACTCCGACATCTTGAAATGGTCGACTCAAGTTTTTCAAGATACTAAGTTATATCGCACGCATGCGCATTGGTTATCCATGGTCCTACTGATCCTTCATTTTTGTGTACTATTTCAATCTCGTACATTCACCGATTCACTTACCCATGTTCCTTGCGTTCCCGTTCACAATTTCCCAGAAAAGTCCCAAACTGAAACAGAAAGCGACACGGAAGCGTAAGTACAACTTGAGGTTTATGTTAGTATTGACTGTAGTGTAGGCGAGCTAGCAACATTTCCTGCGAATTTTTGCGCTTGATTTTGTACCAAAAAGTACAATCTATTTATTGGCCATTTTGAAGTTGCGTGGGAGAATGGGTCGGTGTTGTGCCGAGTTGCACGATGGGATTGTTCTGATGATACTAATGCTTCTTTCAATGGCTACTATACGGAGTTGCACCGGAAACGTGGGCAAAATCAGTCCACCGAAACAGCCCCATAGTGCATTTCAGTACAACCCCGACCCAGTCCAAAACACAATCTCAAACTAACCAATAAGGCGAAACGAAGAAATGTGCCCTGCCTTCCGTGACTGTAGCACTTCAACCCCAGCGAATTCTAGTGTTCCAAAACAACCCTGCACTGCAGGGTAGTTTTGACACCACAATAGTTTTTCACACACCAAGCAGACTCAATTCGAGCAAAACTTTTTGCGTGACTTTTGCGTATTTCATATATGCTAATCATCAGCCAGAAATACTTTTTTGACCGTCTATCAGCAAGCATTTTGAACTTGAAAATGGCGTCAAGATGACAGCGAACCGTCGTTCTTTCTTGCCCGCGTTGTTTTTTACTTGTTTTTGTAAACATCAAGCAGACATTGCAAAAAAATAGGAATCGAGGGCAAGGAATCACAAGGCACATCGTGCTAACGACGTGCCTCAGACACGGACGGGTGCCACGGACATCATGGTTTACACCACTTTCCGAAAAGAGTAGGGGACGTAGACCCCGGTGGTGTGGCCAACCTTTACGGTTTGTGGGATTGGGTAGGGATGGCGCCTCGCAGGGGACCTATGAGTCCCGTTCGTGCCCATTCCGTCTGGGCAGGCTTGTGTCCAGAAAAGCTGGTAAAAAAAAGAAATAAATAAATAAAAATAATTAAAAAATCACCATTACATGGTTATACCTGACAAGAATATAAGTGATCATGAATTGCAAGAAGGAATCGCTCATTAAACTGGAATGCAAAAGGAAACTGTTCCTGTAACTGCCATACGCCTTCTAAGAACTGAAGAAACACTGGTGACGTATCCTTGCCATCCGATTGAAGAAAACCACACCTGACAAATAAAGCAGATATACACGAGGGTCAGAGGCGGGTAATCGCAATGAATTCAGTCTGTCGGCCACAGTATGGGTAAATTTTTGCAAATGTCATTATCAGAGCCCAGCTGTAGCTATATACCTGCGTCGCAGACTGTTTAACTAAATCTCTGATATATTTGAGAGATTTAGGGGAGAGGTGAAGCTACCTACGACATAGCTGCCGGTACCGCCTGCGATACTGTTCCGATATGACAACAGAAGTCGCCGGCAACAAGGGCCTTGTCAGTCTTTACCGCCCGCATGCCTGAGAAGTTGACTCAAGTTCAACTTCGCAGACGTGCCGGCGGTAAAGACCTGCGATGTTTCTTGTTGACGGCGGCCTTATTTCCTCATATGTCGGAGTTGTATCGCAGGCAGTACCGACGGCTACGTCGCAGGTACTTCGGCGGTATAAGAGACCAGGTTTCAGTCTTTACCGCCGGTGTGCCTGCGAAGTTGACACGAGTTCGACTTCGCAGGCATGCCGGCGGTAAAGACCTCCTTATACGTCGGAGTAGTATTGCAAGCAGTACCCACGGCCGCGTCGCGGGTACTTCGGAGGCATATGAGAACCAGGCTTAAATCTCTCCATTGAGTTCTCTATCCACTATGGATCTCGAGGGACACTGAGTCCGGCTGCAACACAGGCTACTGCGGCTAGTTCTGACTTATTATACACTGACACTGAGTCAATAGTTAAGACCTGACATTGAATTATCGCAACAGCCTTTGTGGAGGGGAAAGCTACGACATGGATGGGGTGTTATGCTACTGACTAGTGAAAACTGAGTCGACATAAGCAAAAGCATAAGCACAAGGCCGTGAACCAATCATCCTGCCACTTTGACCCAGACCTCATGCGGACTTATAAAAGCAATATGGCGGACGCTTCGTCCGCCATCTTGTTTATCATCGGGCTTAGGAGAGCTAGTATGGAGAATTGAGTCAAATATGCCATTCTGCGTGTGCGTATGTCCTTATCCTTAGGCTTTAGATTTCAAGTCGTCGGGGAAATGCAAGGAAGTACCCTGCGCATAACAATCCCGCCGGCTACGCAAGCTATGAAACAGATAAAAGTAACCTACCTGTCAGTAAACTTGTGGCCAAATGCCAGCCATTCTTTTTCAATTAATACCTGTGCATAGACAATAAGAAAACAACAGTTGGAATGACTCAAAGGGACAAACAATGGGGTGGTTTTGCTTGAAAGTCTAGTGAACATTCTGCATGAAAAATTATCATACCAAAGGTAACCGGACAACAGCTGTCTTCCTGTTAAATATATTAAATATAGATTTAGCCAGGGCTAGAAGCGAAGCTCTCGTTAATATACTTACGTACACAAAAAATAAAATCGTGTAATGCTAAACGGCGACAGCAAGGAGAACGGCAAAATAATAAAATGGTCTAATTAGCAAAACAACTGAACAAACAACTTTGCACGTGCAGCACACTTGTGCACATTTCTTTGTCGTTGTTTTACACGACGACGGCGTGAAACTTCCTAGTTACACCTTTTATGTAGGAAATGACGTATGTGTTCCTGTTCGCTCTTTTTTTTTCCACTGCCGCTCATTTTTCACTTTGGTGGCCGCTAGTATTTCTCAGTCAGTCGTACCACCGCTATAAAAAGTTCATATTTTTCTTCTGACGAAATTGGTCTCCTTTAATTGTTTTTATCTCTCACTCTAGCTCTTTCCTGCCATCCACATAAGTGTCGACATTAAAATTTAGTCGAAGAAAATACCCGTCTTCGTTGTTGTTGTTGTTTTTTTCTTTCTAAAAGTACAGCCATGCGATTTACCGCCAAAACGCGCTGTTCGTGATATGCGAAATTTCACCCCGGCTTACATGAAGGGGTGGACGTACGTAAGGACCATTTTTGCAGAACCAAAATTACTTGGATGCATAGATAACCAAATTTCTTACCCGTGGTGCTTCGCTTCGCGGTCTTTGCGCGCGCGAGGGCACCGCTATAAATATACATCTGTAACGCAGTAATAACCAAAGGTCAGGGAGTTTTGGCGAGGTCAAGCTCTTGGTTCAACGCTGTGCTTTGCGAATAAAGTTTCACTTGATAAAAGATCAAAATGCGCTTGATCGAATTACGAGTGATCGAAGATTCTATGAATTCCAATTAGTCTTACTGCAACTCTAAACGAATGCTGACTACCTACGTGCTGGGTATGCGTAACAGCTGTCTAGAGATTAGGATTGTGGGCTCCTCTGGTCGCCCGCAATAAATCATGTAATATCGCTCATGACAAAATGTAATATTTACTACCAATGGGTGATAACAGGACAAAACACTAGGATTTTCTCTGTGAAGAAAATTGGGGACCTTAGAAACAAAAAAAAAGACCAATGTACCCCATTCTCTATTTTCGAATTCCCCATAATACACTATGTTTGCCCCCCAAATTCTGCGTAAACCATTGTTTTTAAATGCTCCTGGGAGTATTGCATTTTCCCAAGAGCATTTTAAGACAATAAGTTATGCAAAATTTGGGGGGCAGACAGAGTGTATTATGGGGAATTTGAAAATAGTCAATGAAAGTGTCTCCACACACTTAGTTACTAAACGTACTAAACGTACCTGAAAGCCATGCATAGTTCTGTAGTAAGGATCAAGAATGATGCTTGCCAGAGAGCATGTTTGCGCTGTTCTGTCCCATCCATCACTACAATGGACTACTACATTGACGCTCTCCTCAGCAACAGCCTTGATTAAGATCACAAAAAAAAGAGATCAATCAATACACAAATGTCAAACTGCTGAACACAACTAAACTGTACAAGCACCGAGCAAGGCACTGCATTTCTCTGCGAAATCGTTCTTTGCATCCTCTAGCAATGTTCTTGCCCACAAAACACCCTTCTATACCCTGGGTGCCAGAGGCTTTTCATGCACGGTTTCTGGTTTCGGTCAAGTCTTAAAAAGTGACCCGCGCCGCCGCTTCAGTCTTCGGCCTTCAGCCGAACACGCGTGTCGGCCTGCGGCCGACAAAACGAAGCTCCCCGTCGAACGCGAGAAAAAACCTCTGGTACCCAGGGCAACCCTTCTACGGTTTTTTTCAAATTTTGAAAAAGACCAGTGAGAGAATATCCATGGACACTGCTGGAAACAGAGCCTTGAAATTAGTTAACAAGGGAGCGATGACTCCGCAAAGTCGTGAAATTTTACAAATGCTTGTGTGGTGAGGGACACGAACTTGACCCTCTGTAAAATTTTGTGACTTTGAGGAGCTATACATGTATCTTTGTTGGCTTTTAATAAATCATTCTTAAACTTGGCAACTCTGGTGATTTTAGGGCGTTCTTTCAAGTGGTATTGACGGATTTTTGCTAACTGGTCCCAGCAAAAGGTTGAAAAAAAGCGTTCCTTTGTGGGGAAGAGCACTGCGTGAAGACACAAAGCCAGAAATGACAAGAGCGAATTAACCATGTAGTAGTACATGCACTTAGGAAGTTACATTTTAGGCATCTGATGCAAGTGTAGTTAGACTGAAAGTTATTAGACATTCATTTATTACCTCACCTTAGCTATAAACACTGATGTATCTAAAACAGATTTGATATGCTTCATCCATCCACTGCTTTCCAACCCGCTTGTTAAAGACTTTACAGTCAAATCAGGAGTTTCACACACCACTGAAAAGTTAAGAATGAACACAACAAAAGTGGATGAACCTGTATGCAACTCGGTCTCAGGTTTACGAGAAACATCTGAGTGACGCTGGGCATGCTAACGATTGCACAGTCCAACCTCAACACCCTATCACCTACATGTACATGATACCTGCCAACTTTTTTAATTTATAGGCGTGACATTTTAATCCTTAGGAGAGTGCCAGGATTTTTCGTAGAGGTCCGATAGTAAAAAGCATGTCCGAAGAGGTTCTGAAGAGTTCCGTCTAATACGAACACGGCAACTCGAAGGAAAACGACCTCGTCTCCAGGGATTTTCCTTACTAAAATAAGAGAATTAGGAGAAAGTCGATCATTCACATGGACTTTTTTTTTCTCTCATCGGCTCCAATTTCTTTAAATAATTAATATGTTGTTTCAAAATGTGTCAGTTAAGAAGGTAATGGCTCAAACTTTTCTACCAGGGGCGAGTAATTGGAACACACGCATGAGTAGACCTGAGATCGAAGTTTTCGATCCGCAGGTGTGACAATCACGCCTTTTTCGCGTGACACTTGGCAGGTCTGTAACACAGTAGGTGACCAGCCAGTATTCCAAATACCAAAAAAAATCAAGTCAAAGTGCTATAGTTGGAACCTCTATTAAAACGACCACCTAATGTACATGTACAAATCAGTTCTACTGTATACGCTTACCCATCTTTTAGAGCGCACAAGATAAACTGACTAGCAACTTTTCCATTGTTTTTAACCTCTTGTAAGCAACTACTTGACTCGTAGTCTGATCTCTTTGTTCACCGTATGTACTACGCGACTTAGAGAACAGGAAGGACTTTTAGTGACAGCATGAACTACAGTGCACACATCGTAACTTCAAAAAAGCATATCAGTCTATGTGTCCAGAGTTCTTGCCAGAAAGATCTTGTTTGATTCAATTCCCTGCAGGTGACCACCTGTCGTAAGCAGCCACTCAGTAATACTTTGCATTCTGAGTGGTCAAGTACGTGAGGTCTAACTTTACTTTTTCTTGAGAAATAAATCCTGTGTGATGTTATCACTAGAGAGCTTTAGATTCTAAGACGAGAACGAGAACGACAACGAGATTTTCTCAATACTAAGTAGCGCACGCGCGAGAACCAACATCATTTTGGCGGGAAAATGTGGTAGCCATCGCCATTCATCGTCATTCTGATACGAGTTTTAGGGAGAATGTCGTAGTGGCGAAAACAAGTTATCAAATATTAAGAATTTTATCATTAGCGATCGGGAGAGGGCTCCACCTCCTTCAACGGAAATAAGCGAACTAACGTTTGTGGTGAAAAAAAGTACTGTACAATGAAGCTTTCCGGGGTGTCTATTATAGATAATAGGTGAGAAAACTTAAAATTAAATGTCGTGCTTGCAGTCATCCTCGTCCTTGAATCTAAAGCTCTCTAATCTTTCGTATTTAACGCCAACTATGATCAATTGACTAAACAAAAGAATACGCTCGTGAGCTGTCTCACTTCTCTTCGAATTTTCAAACCACAGCCAATATATAAAATCACAGCAGTACTTACATTCAGTCATCTTCTGTAGACTTTGTCTCATAACATGAATATTTTCAATCCCCACAAACTGAAACTTGACATTCTCATAAAAATCTGTATTCTCATATCCCTTTCCAGCAGCTTTGTTTGCCATGGCATTTATCTGTAACAAGAGACACATACTTGTACCATTTGAATTTACAGGTACAATACAAAAACAGTTGAAGAAAAGCCTGTAAAAAAAAGCTCTACATGACCTCTGATTAAGAATTAGATTCTCCTTTCCATTTACCTTGTACACTAATGCTTTTGTATTAAAAAAAGAAATTGACATTAGATCAGAATCACTTAAGGTCTTATCATTCTACTCACCAGTTCATAAAGTTTTGTGCTTTTTTACATTCTGTCAGTAAAGAGTGGTGAGGATAACTATGGTTCAATGAATTATTTGCATTTGGAATCATAGATTTATTTTTATCCCTTGTCTCTTTTCAGTGGTTTGTTAGGAAAGTAGGGATAATGCAGAGGTGAGAGCAATCACCTCTCATTGATGTTGACTAGGTTCAAGTGCTGAGGTGACCCCATATGAAGGTTGTGTTGTGCTGTGGGTTCTCTTCTATGACCCAAGAGGTTTTTGTCTGGGTACTTCGCTTTATCCACTTTCCTCAAAACCAACATGTCCAAATTCCACTTATTTCCATGTAAACAGTGTCTCCAGTTTAACAGTTGAGGACACTTTGAGGTCCACGGGTTTACCAGTTCTATAAACTCTCTGATGTCAACCTCTTCTTTAGTCTATGAATAACATTAGTTTGTTTTCTGATTGATATGTTTTGGCTGAAGCAAAGACCAAGAGATCCAAAATCTTTGGCAAACAATGTCTTTCCATGCATAGCTAAAGAAACATGGGGGCTTGCAAGCCCTTACGCATTTGGTTGTTAATGTGCCATAACAGAAAAATGGGGACCTTTTGGCCTTACCATTGTTTTTTGATACAAATTACTTTGTGTTTCCATCATTCAGTTATAGCAACGAAAGTACTTATTAATTCTGATTCAGGATGCAAAAAATGTGGTGTAAAAGTGATAAACTTTACTGTATGAAGGTTACACAAAGAACCCCCTGTAAGCATTCCTCTTGCTAAGAATCATCATAATTATAGATGGAGAGCAAGTACTTGGAAAATAAATAATAAATAAGCATTCTGAGACTGGACACTAAGGGCACTTCTCAAAAGTCAGAACTGGCCAACTGGAGTGGTTTTTTCAAAAATTGAAAAATGGCTTTTTTAAGAGCCCTTACCAAAAAACTCACCAACTCCATGCATATCATTTTGGAATTGACTGATCTGGCTGGATAGTTTTGATTAAAAGTGAAATTCTCATGGTGACAGGAATGGGCTGACTGGCCTTTTCTGACAAATGGAAAGCGCTCAAACACACATGTACCTTGGGTCTTGTATCCACTATGTAAACATAACTAGCATTGGGTGTGGTTCTCATGATGATGTCAATGAGAGTTTCATCTTCCTGGCAACGTGAGTTGAACCCTGACAAAGGCTGACTGCAACGGCAAATTGCTGCCTGAAAAGTATTTTTAAAAATGTTGAGCAAGGGGCGCCTGGAATGCATACAGTCCAACCTTCCGTAAGCAACCACCCAAAGTACAAAAATCACAGTCGCTTACAGGAGGTAGTCTCTTACGAGAATCGAACCATAAGGGGTCTGTTCCAAGAAGTGGCCCGACACGTTTACTTTTTGGCAGATAATTTGTCTAAGTTACATACATGTGTAGTTCCATTGTGTTATTGAAAGTTCTTCATATATTCTGAGTGGCCTAGTTCCTACAGCGAACAGAGAGATCACATGATGTGTCTTGTGGTTGCTTACAAGAGGTTACAGACAATGAAAAACTATAAAACTATCATGCCAATAAGTGGTCGTAGTCGCTTGTGAGAGGTGATCGTTTACAAGAGGTTTACTCATGGGAAGATTTTGGTGTTTTGGATCGCTGGTGCTAAAGGGAGGTGGAGGTTCGACTGTATTATTACAGGTAAGTAAAACATATTAATAATACAGTCGACTTCCGATAACTAGAATCCTCAATAACTTAAACCTCCTATTAACTCGAAGTACATTTGTTTCCCTTCAGATCCGTCATTTCTACATAATCTTTTACCCTCAATAACCTGCAAAATGTCATATCGTGGGACAATTTGGGAACAAAAAACTTGTACTGAAGTCTGAAACATTGAATTTATTTCAAAACAGCGCTGTCAATTCTTTGTCTTTACTTTTTTGTCACTCCAGTGGGAATTCAGTGTTCATCCCTGTATTTCAATCAAGTTTTGTTGCTTAATTGCATTCCCTCCCCATCCACTTGCTTATTACTTCATTGAGGTTCTTCTTGAGGTTCAGGTTGGTATGGAAGCAGCCAGGGGAAATCCCTCCCTCCCAGCCTTTAATGAGAGCACTAGTAAAGTTACTAGGCTTGAAATGTCACTGTAGAATTTATCTTCGGTGGAGCCTCCCTTAACTGTTTTTATTAAGGCTTTACTCCTTCTCACTAAGTTGTTGAGATTTAATTAAATATTGATCATCCCAATCAACTAAACTTGTTCAATGATTAATTTTGATTCCTATGAAAGTAATTAGCAGTCTTTTGACTATCGTATTTACAGTACAGCCCAAAAATAATAGACGCGCAATAACTTCTTTTTGCGCCCGCAAGCTAGCTTTCTTGCTCCTTTTTGCTGCTCACTTTCTTGGGCAACTTTTTACATGTGTCCTTGCATGATTACCTATTGACATCGCAGAGTACTCATAGGCTGGATAAATTCAATGCCACTAATGATGTTATAATAAAAAGGCAACAAACACCACAAACTTCTTCCAGGTGAACACTTATGTATAAACAACTTCTTGTGCCTTCTTGAGGCTAATTGCGGTAATTTTCTAGCTTCTTGCAGTAAAGATTTTTTGACTACTTGCTTTTCAAAGTTCTCACGGGTAAACTGCAAAAATACGGCACCTTCTCTTCTTGCGGTGGCTGGCGTGTTCTTGCGCATACATTATTTTTGGGCCCTACCGTACATGTACGTGAGGGAAAAACTGATCGAATTGATAACAACACCTTCACTTGAACATCTAATCGAAAATCAGTAACAAGTTCTGTTTACCTTGGTTTTCTTGTAATAAAAGGACAAAGCAGGTAATCTGCCTCGACTTCGGAACCTAGCACTACCAACAAGAACAGGGTTGGAAGCAGCCACAGGAAGATACAATATACTGGGATATGTGTCACATATCTAGAAGGAGAGAAACAACAGTGATTTTGTATTAAAACAACACAGTTGAGAAAATGTTCAGAGAAAAACATATAAGCAATTCCAGTTATGATAAGTTTGTAAAAGAGTAAATGGTTTGAACTCAGGAGTCATTTCATACAAAATGTAAGTAGTTAAAGTATGATAGTCTAGGTGAGTGTAGTCGTGAATAGGACTGTTGTTGACGGTGACTGATGTTTCAAGAACCTGCACCGTAGTCATCTTCAATTCAAATTGAGTTGTATCAAGTCAGTTGATTTATTAGATCAGAGGGTATTCCATCTGACTGAACTTGGGGAAACTACAGTTGGTTTGATTTAGTTGATGACTGTATCTCTAAATGTTGAAAGATGGGGCTAGAAGGATGTACAGACTAGCAGGAGCCCATTGCAGGGGGAGTGCACTTCAGTCAAACTTCTTCAGCTAGGATTTAGCAGTTCTACATGTACTCTGTAATTGCCATAGTTCATAATGATAGCAAGGTGCAAGCAAGGCAGCACTGTAAATGCAAGCTTTACAGTCAGCGTGCAAAGAAAGTAGTGTCCGATAGCCCGGGGCTAATGGATTTTGCTATCGGGCCAGTGAATTCTGTTTTTAACTTGCCCGACGGGCAAGTGATGTTTTATGAGGAATTTGAATAACAGAAGAACAAAAAGTTTTTGGGGCTAGTTGAAATGACGTCTGGGCTAGTAAATGCTAGCTTCAGCTTGCCCAAATGGCAAGCTGTAAAAATGATTTTCTTTGCACCGTGACAGTACTTCTAATTCAATGTAATACAAAACAGAATCCATATTTATTTGATTAACCGCCCTGTGCACTTATTAAATTTTTGGACCTTGAGAGTGGGCTCTTATTTGAGGTGGACACTTACCCCAGTATTAAATTTACACCATTTTCAGCTAGTGCATTATGTTTATTTTGCAACAAAACAATAAATGGCAATAACAAAACACGAAGATGTAACAAAGCAAGGTTTCTGCAAATATACTGAAGAAAATTCTGTCTTCTGGGAAGTCTCTTCTTAGTACTTCTTCAATTTCAATCACATCAATAAGTGAATTCTCTGGTGCTTCCTAGACAATGAATCTTGAGATTGTACAGTGAATAATAATAATCAATACTACTCCTGTGCACTTAATTTTGGGGGGTTGGGAGGGGGAAGTGGGATGGGGTGGGGGTGGGCACTTATTTGAGTTTGAGTGGAAGCAAGGTGGGGGGTAGGGTGGGGGCAGGCGCTTATTCGAGGTTAGGCACTTATTCAAAATATTAAATATGTTACCAACCTTGTAGTCTTTGTTCAAAGTGCTGCAGCACCACTCACTGTTTGGCAATCCCATCCTTGCATACTCAGACTGAATGTCAAATAAGGCCCAGCCTGCAGATCTAGTCAGCTTCTCACTCAAGGGATTATAAGAGAATGCATACAAATCTTCAAGTTTTTCTACAAAACAAAGTAAAAAGTTCATAAACTTGACTTTTCAGAAGTTGACAAAGTCAGTAAAATTAATAACATTAAAGAGGCGTGTACCAGTGCATTGATCAAATTTGATATTGTGACCATTCAAAATAATTAATGATAACTCTGCAGTAGCAGAACATTCACAAGGTATTATTAACTTCATTTAGTATTATTTGTATTTTGTTTATTTGCCACACAGATACAAGTAAATGATTACAAGAACAAAAAAAAACCAAAACTGGAGAAAGTAACGGTGAGGAGGCCTAAAGGAAAGTATATAGCTTATGTTAATTAGGCCTATAAACATAAAATTCAAACTTATATGTCTGTGGGTAATGTCTGTGAAGCAGCGCCTATATCCGTGTTCTGGGCCCCCCAACTAGCCCAATTAATTTACTGGAAATGCTTTGGAACTTCCATTCAATATGCTTGCCAAATTAGCAATGGCATTTTTAACAGGCAAATCATAGCACAGTCATACTGTAACAATAAGCCCCCCAAACTTGTAATGCAAAGCACCCTCTGTTAAATCAGCCCCCAGCATAATATAAGCTCCCAGGGGCTTATACCTCGAAATTTCCCTCAGATACAAAGTAAAACAAAGCAAAAACGTTACAGTAACACAAGGCATCAGAGAGAAGGATACTCTTCATGAGATAGGTCGGAAATGAATGGGTTCACATTTGTTCTAACAGGGAAATGGTGAAGTGCTCATACAAGAAATGTGGCATAATGTCTATATTGATGGAAGTGAGAATCTGTTACTCCACTTAGAAGGCATCATTAAGTATGTCTTGCCAAAACCAAATGAAAAATTTTGAATGAACTCTTCCACTGACAAAAATGACACATCAGAAAAGGGTGATTTTGAACTAACCAACACAGAGGAAGCTGTTCATCATGTTGAAGCACCCTAGATTCCAATGTTTTGTTACAATAATCCATTTTTTGTGTGAAAAGTGTTACGTTCCTTATTATTGACATTACTTTACCTTTGAACAAAGTATTGAATTTTCAACAAAGCAATTTGCAGTTGTGAGATCTACATCCTCACAGTGAATTTCAGTAAAATCTTCTTGCATATTGCTGACTTAAATTTCCTTCCAATGAAGAAGTTAGCCCAATCGATTTTGAGATGCAAATTTCCTCTGTATATACGCCCCTCAAAAAGGGCCTTTGAAAAAATAAATATAAGCCCCAGGGCTTTAATATTTTTCATTTTACTGTAATCAAATCCTGGCCCCAGTTGTTCAAAAGCTGGATGGCGCTATCTACCAGATAAATAACTATCCAGTGGATAAATATTAGCGAATTATTATTATAAATGAAATAAAGGGAGATGTAAAGAATCAACCATAAGAGGACACAGAAAAAATCTGAACCCCAGATGGGATTCGAGCCCCAGATTTTTTCTGTGTCCTCTTATGGTTGATTCTTTACATCTCCCTTTATTTCCTTTATAATATTAATATCAGTGGCATAGGTTGGAATTATTATTATTGCATTATCCTGTGGATAGATATTTATCCAGTGGATAGCGCTATCCCCCTTTTAGAACAACTGGGGCCTGGTGCACAGTTGTTGACCCAGATGGACTAAACAAGAAGTTTTAAGTTCTGTCTGTTGCACAGACGACTCTTGATAGGAACAAGTCATTTGTAAGTCACCTGGATTAGAAAGTTGTAGCAGACATGAGTAAATCTCCTGGCTATCCCTGTCTCTTGAAATGATAAATGTAACAATCTGAAAAGTTTTGCAGCGGATTTTTAAAGGAGATCCGGCAGCATTTAGTGGAAGTTTTTCAACTGAGGCGATGTGAGAATGAAGAATCTATGAAAAGGAAGGAAAATTAAATTAAGTTAATAAACAATATCTCACTCACAGTCTTATTTAATAATTTACTTCATTGCAATAAGAGATGTCAACTGTGTTCAGGAACAGCAAGATAGACCTTAAGAACAACACCTTAACAGACCCTGGCGCAATAAGTGGTTAGGTCTAGTCGAGAAAATTGTGGCTTAATGACCAAAGATACTGACCCAAGTTTCTTTAGAACAGTCAGGGTCAACAAATATCAGATGAGTGGCTGTTAGATACAATGTACCAACTGCTGCTTTTCTTTTACCATGTTTTGTCATCAATCGGACATTGTCAACCTACAGGAGAAAATGACACAAGCTATCAATATAATTACTTAAAATATAACTTGCACTTCTTGAAGGATGTTACTGTCAAACTCAGAAAACCTTGAATGGCTGAAAAATTTCAGGAATGTTGATTGTGTAGACACCAATCAGGACATGCGAGCAGGGTTCGCAAATACGCCAAAATTGTTCAGATGACTCCACTGAGGTTACGGAGGGAGTCACTTTGACTCCAAAAATTTTCGGTAACAAACAGGGAGCCACTTCGACTCCAGAAATTTTCGGTAACAAACACAGTTTTATCCTTACCTTTTTCGCAACAAATACAATTTACGTTAATTGTAAACGTTGTAAACCTTAATTAAATCATCGAAATTAAAGAATTATACTCCACGACAAAACAGGAAGAGGGTAAATTACGATCAAAGTTTACTCGATGACCGCCACCATGGATTTGAGCTTTCCAGGTCAGCGGACCGCCACATCTACGTCGTGTATCCCTCACGATAGTGTATACATGCCGGGACCACGTGCTGGAAAGTCTGATACTTGACTCCAAATATTCCAAAATGACTCCAAAATTTGTGAAGCAGAAGTCACACTGACTCCACTCATCAATAAAATTTGCTAACCCTGTACGAGCAAACCACAAAACTAACCACTGCTGCTGTTTGCTGGTCAGGTTTCTCACACCTTATGGGCGTTCTCTTTGCAATAGGATAACATTCCATGAATATTTCTGGTGCTCACAGTTTTATGAGTTTCACAGTAAACATTCTGAGCAGTTTTCAATTGTTTCAAGTTTCAAACAGCAAGGCCTTTTTTTCTGCTTGCCTGGGAGACCAGCCTAAATAAGTAAGTAAGTATTATAAAAGTACGCAGTCTCGCAATATTAGCAATAAAAGGGGGTGGTAGGCCTACACGACTTTTACCTCATGCCAAAATGCTGCTTATTCCAGTGAAGTTGTTTTTATCTGCTGGGTAGATTATGCTCTGGAAGGTTCTGCATTTTACTGAGCAAATGTGGTTTTAGCCGCATGTTTCACACTGAGAGGTCATGACATATATATCGATTGACTGTAGTTATTGTTTTCTGGTCGGCAGGATTTGCCCTGTGATGCAAGCGCATATTCTTTGACCTCTTTTGAAACGTAAAGCTTTTTTTTATTACGGCTGAATAAGGGTTCCAATTTTCTCCAAAGTGCCTTCTGGATCTGATCTAAGCGATTTTCTTTAGTCCGTGAGTGTAATGTTTTTCTGCAATGCTGTATCACGCTGGGCCCAGCTTGTCGGTTTTCTTTGCAGAATGTTAAATTATCACGGATAGTGACTTACAGATCCAAAATTATAAGAGTGAAATGCAGCTTAAACTGAAGCTACATAAACTTACTATGGAGAATTGAATTGTGACTCAGTAAACTCCAGCTTAGTGTTTTTCTAAAGATAGTGTGAGGCTTTTGACTGGAGCGCGTAGTTCCTCCCTTGGTAATAGCTTTGAATAAGCTTAACAGTCTTTAAACTGTTTTGTTATTGCCACAGTTTGTGATCAGGCAAGACCATGGTTTCGGTTCTCCTCACGAACCTCATCAGTTGCCGGGTTGGCTTTGTGCTTAGTTGCTTTTAGAAGAGCAACTTTAGTTGTACTTTGTCGTGGCGAGAACGGTACAGCCGTTCTGTCTGTTGAGCTTTGAACTGAACATAAATACCACGTGGCGGATCGAAATTCTTGTTTTCTTATTGGCTACTGAACGTAACCAATTGCCGACTGTGTATTTCGATCCTCTTCTGCTTCAAGCTAGAGGTGTGTTTTTTGGAAAGCATTTTCGTGAAAATTTAGGCACTTTCTTTTCGTGGAAGAGTTCAAGACTCTTGTAAATAGATGCGCACAGAGTTTCCGTACACTCCCTCTAAAAACTGGAGTGGATCGTTTCTTGTTAGTTGCGCAATGTTGAACTTTCTACTCTGTGCTTGGTTCTTATTAGTGCCAGTGTTGATTTTCATAAGGTAAAACGGGCCTACCCGTAAACAAATCATAGCAATAAAAGGGGTGGTAGGCCTACACGACTTTTACCTCATGCCAAAATGCTGCTTATTCCAGTGAAGTTGTTTTTATCTGCTGGGTAGATTATGCTCTGGAAGGTTCTGCATTTTACTGAGCAAATGTGGTTTTAGCCGCATGTTTCACACTGAGAGGTCATGACATATATATCGATTGACTGTAGTTATTGTTTTCTGGTCGGCAGGATTTGCCCTGTGATGCAAGCGCATATTCTTTGACCTCTTTGAAGCGTAAAGCTTTTTTTATTACGGCTGAATAAGGGTTCCAATTTTCTCCAAAGTGCCTTCTGGATCTGATCTAAGCGATTTTCTTTAGTCCGTGAGTGTAATGTTTTTCTGCAATGCTGTATCACGCTGGGCCCAGCTTGTCGGTTTTCTTTGCAGAGTGTTAAATTATCACGGATAGTGACTTACAGATCCAAAATTATAAGAGTGAAATGCAGCTTAAACTGAAGCTACATAAACTTACTATGGAGAATTGAATTGTGACTCAGTAAACTCCAGCTTAGTGTTTTTCTAAAGATAGTGTGAGGCTTTTGACTGGAGCGCGTAGTTCCTCCCTTGGTAATAGCTTTGAATAAGCTTAACAGTCTTTAAACTGTTTTGTTATTGCCACAGTTTGTGATCAGGCAAGACCATGGTTTCGGTTCTCCTCACGAACCTCATCAGTTGCCGGGTTGGCTTTGTGCTTAGTTGCTTTTAGAAGAGCAACTTTAGTTGTACTTTGTCGTGGCGAGAACGGTACAGCCGTTCTGTCTGTTGAGCTTTGAACTGAACATAAATACCCACGTGGCGGATCGAAATTCTTGTTTTCTTATTGGCTACTGAACGTAACCAATTGCCGACTGTGTATTTCGATCCTCTTCTGCTTCAAGCTAGAGGTGTGTTTTTTTGGAAAGCATTTCGTGAAAATTTAGGCACTTTCTTTCGTGGAAGAGTTCGAAGACTCTTGTAAATAGATGCGCACAGAGTTTCCGTACACTCCCTCTAAAAACTGGAGTGGATACGTTTCTTGTTAGTTGCGCAATGTTGAACTTTCTACTCTGTGCTTGGTTCTTATTAGTGCCAGTGTTGATTTTCATAAGGTAAAACGGGGCCTACCCGTAAACAAATCATAGCAATAAAAGGGGGTGGTAGGCCTACACGACTTTTACCTCATGCCAAAATGCTGCTTATTCCAGTGAAGTTGTTTTTATCTGCTGGGTAGATTATGCTCTGGAAGGTTCTGCATTTTACTGAGCAAATGTGGTTTTAGCCGCATGTTTCACACTGAGAGGTCATGACATATATATCGATTGACTGTAGTTATTGTTTTCTGGTCGGCAGGATTTGCCCTGTGATGCAAGCGCATATTCTTTGACCTCTTTTGAAGCGATATGTCGACCGATACATTGGCCGACAGTTGACCCACTAGTAGGTATAGGCGGTTGCGTTGACCAAGTGTCAGTTGTACATAAGTGATCTGTCAGTGATCCATCAACAAAGTGGCAGCCTACTATCAACCGAAAGACTGTAGCAGTCAAGGACCGGCCACATATCGGTCAAGATGCTACCAACTCTTGACAGACAGTCGGCCGATAATAGACCGCCACTCTACTGATGTATCAACCCACATGTTGACCGAGGTATCGACCGTTGTGTCGGCCAAGTGTCGGTAACATATCAGCAATCTGTCGGTGATCCGTCAGCAAAGTATTGGCCAACTATCGATCAACTATCAACCGAGCAAGCTCTCCGGGGCACCCTGGCCACAAGGCAGAAAAAGGAAGGAGAGCTTGCAACTGCATCTCTGAAATTTGATTTCCACCTCCTATTCCCCTGTAGCTCCCCGTTGACTGAGCTGCCAGATTTCCCCCAATCAGTGCTAAGTGGAAACGAATGCGAATGTAAACAAACATTGAAAAACACCTGCCAAGGGTAATGACATCATCACTAATGTCATCTCCCCCAATCAGCATTTCGCATCGACTTTTTCGATGCAGATATTTAAATTCCAGAGATGTAGCTGCAAGCTCTCCTTCCTTTTCCCAGCCTGCCATTAGAGTGCCCCAGAGAGCTTGCTCAAAGGCTAGTAGTGGCTGACTGTCACCAAACATATTGGTTGACACTCAACCGACTCTCAACTGATACTCGACCGACTCTTGGTCGAGTATTGAACAACTCTCGACCAAAATAGTGGCCGATATGTCGATTGACAGTCAACTGAGATATTAGTCAATGCATCGATCGACATCTGATCAACAAATGATCCTACTTCTCTACAGCAATCAATCTGGCCTGTTTTGGTAGCAAATCTTTGCAGATTCTAGGTCTGACTAAAGTTTGAACCCCATTTCCCAAGCTGATCAATTGGCCATCAGTTTATTATATTAGAATATTATTTCTATTAAATTTCGCTGTGTACTGCGCTATTCCATTTACTATCCACACCCCCGGCCCTGTGAATGAGGTACAGGATAACTTTGAGCCCCTAACAAACAAAAAAAGAGAAAATATCCAAAGTACCAACACAGATTCCTCTCTCAGAAATTGAAAATTTTTCTCACACCCCTCTGAAATATGCCAAAGATCAGTGGGTGCCAACACAGCCACCCCTTCTCACCCATGGAGGGGGAATCAAAATCAATTAAAATGGCCCACTTTAAGCTTGATCAATGAAAATTACTAATATTTTGTGCCTTCCCTTCCTAGCGCAAAGGTTAGAGCAAGGCTTGCAAATGGGGCGAAATATCAAAATGACTAAGGGGCTAGATAACCGCAAAGCGATATCTACATTTTACCGCGTGATTCGATGAGTGAAATTTCTGTAGTCCCACGCTGTTGATCAAGGACATTAAGTTTAACAGTTCCCGATCCAGTGTGATGATGCATTTACATACACTTCTTCCCGAGAGGAAATATTGTGTAAAAGAGTGCCTCTTGCGGCATTCTTAACACCTGCGGCGTAAGCTTTGTCTTGACCCTTTAATTTACCAGAATCTAGACTTACATACCTTGGGTGTCTTTATCAGGTCCATCGTAGTCGTTCCTTCTTCCAGGAAATCCTCGAAAGCTTTTGTTCTGATGAAAATTTATCTTTCTTTACAGCTCCATTGATGGATCAACCTCCAGCATCCGACGCCATCTTGGAAAAGTTCACAAGCATGTCCCGTGATGCAACGAGGTGCATTTTCTAAGGAGGATTTTTATTGGCTGTTTTCACGTGCATATTATTTCATCAAAATGGCGGCCGCCACAACTGGTAATTTGTTCGGTGGTGGATCAACGGGTTTTGCGTTCGGTAGCGGCAATACAGCAACAGCATTTGGTACCCCGACTCCTGGTACAAGTACCTCAGGGACTGGTACGTTTGGAACAAGCGGATTTTCGGCGATCAAACCATTTGGAGCTGTAACAACCGCGTCAACTTTGAGCACGCCGTTTGGACAATCTGCCTCTTCAACTGCAGGTACGGCTTCTGCTTTCACATTAGGTGGTCTGGGCTCCACTGCTGGAACAAGCTTTTCGGGACTGAGCGCACCAAAAACTACTTCATCAGCTCCTACCATAGGGATATTTGGACAAACTACTCAAGCGGGTCAAAGCACCGGGTTTACCCTAGGGGTTGCTCCCGGGTCAAGCACTTCGACCGGGTTTTCATTGGGGGTTGGTGGATTACTTAAATCTACTAGTACCACTACAACCACCACCTCACTACTGGGCTCAACCTCAACTGCCACCACCGGCTTTGGATTAGGAACCACTTCAGGTTTAACCGCATTTGGAGCTCTTGGCGCCAGCAAAACCACAGCCGCAACAAGTACTACAGCTTCAACTACTCTGACTGGTTTAGGGGGAACTGGAACTGGAGCTACAGCAGGTGTTGTGGGAGGTGTCGCCGGCAAGCAAGGGTAAGATTTTTCTATAAAGGTACTTTTCTATACAGCAGTTAGTCACAAACAGGATGTCAAGTCGGATAGCCTACATTACAGCCAGTTGTTTTTATGGTTGGCCCAGTAGGTTTCTATCTTTCACTTGCGTATAGTTCTAAAGTGTGACATCATAGAAAAAAATAAATTTTAAATTATTGGATTTGTCAGGATATTCTGAAAGAAAAACTTCCAAGAGACTTGTTTGCCAAAAACTAGCATTGTCGGGCAAATTGTCTCTTGAAATATTAGCCCAGTTATGCTCTGATGACTCCAAGTCAAATTGAGTAGGATTTGTAGGGAGTCATCAGGACATAACTGGCCTAATATCTCAGAGAAAATTTTCCCTGAATGCTTATTTTTGGCCAGTGGGCATCTTCAATCTTTCAGAATATCGTGACAAATCCCATAATTTCACAAATTTAATTTCAGTGATGTCATCACTTTGGAACTCTATTCTTGACACATTTACCCTAGATGCACTGTGCTCCTAGGAACAGTTTCTAACGCTGGTATTAAATTGAAAATGTACTGTTTCAGAGAACCAAGTACAGTTGTAGTAATCAGTTTTGTAAAGTGAACAGGGTAAAAACAAGTAGAAACTGTTACAAAACCTAATCGATAAATGTGGACCTTAAAAAATAAATATGTTACTGTTAAATATCCTGACCAGAGTGGTCACGATGTTAAACATTGTATTAATCTTTACTTATCGTAATGGATACAAAATGTAAGGATGGTTTCAAACTTAAGTTGAAAGATTGTCATCTTTGATTATATGTTCCTTGCATACAAAAATGTGTAAAGAACATAAGATCATAGTGACTTATAATCCATGTGCTTTTCCTAATCTGTACTGTGGTGGCTCTCAGATTACCTTGTAAAGCTATCTGTGTGACTCTCAGGTCATGGTTTTGAAATGCTCCTTAACCGCTGAAATTGTTTCAGTGATCAGGATGTACATGCAGAACAGTGGAGCATTATTTTTTATCACCTTCATAATGAAAATAGTTCCAAACCTTTCCTACCTTATACTTAATGTCTAATAAAACATAAAACTGAAGGTGCAAAGCATCACATCTCAGGGATCCATTTTCCCTGTCATCCGGTCGTCCCAGACAACTACAATCCAGTATGGACGATTAACATAACTTCAAAAGTTGCCCTTCAGACGAGTGAAGTTTTGCTCTACCACAAAATCTTTTGAAAAATTCATATATGATTTTATACATTTCCCCTGTGTTCTGATTACTTCTAATCCACTTAAAACTTTTAGAATAATGGAGAATAACAAGTAGCTTTTGTCTGCAATGAAATCGTAAGTTTGGGTGCCATTTTTGATGGTGCAGTAGTTTCTTCGAAACGATCACAGGCTCAGTTTTTGTGAAGTATTGCATTCAGAGGCTATTCGTAGAAAATGTGACAGCACTCATGAAGATGCGGCGTTTTTTAGAAGGCATTTCGTCACCTTCGGCGGTTAAAGAAGGTGAAGCGGAAGCCGGTGCATTATAGGCGTCAAGATGTGACGTTTTTTAGAAGACTGAGACACTTTGCAGCCTTAATGGAAAAAAAGGCGATGCAGGAGCCGATGCCTTATACAGCAGAAAATGTAAGAGCAATTTCTTGCCCTTACAGCAAATTGACCAACCGTGGCTACTTGTAAAACTTAAATAAACTTTGTTAGCCTAGGCCTGTAGCATGTTGTACTTAACAGTTTAGTTAAAACCGTTTCTTAGTAACTATAACAGGAATAAAATGCTATAGTAACAGAAATGTTCAAGTTGAGCACAATTTTTTCACCATTTTTTTATTTAATTTTGCACTTTTGTCTGGGCAACCGAAATTGTAACCGGGCAAGTATGCCAACAGGCTTACTTGCCCGGCTGACGACTCTGAGAAAAAATGAATATGGCCCCCCGACATCTTCAGCTTTCTTGAACATGTGAAGTCTGTTAAACACTCTGAAAGCTAAACGCTTAGAAGTGATACTTTAGACTGAAAAAAAAATACTGTTCTCTTCTCTGTGGGCCTTTTGCGCAAAGTTGCACATATAGGTGCACAGTGACTGCGGGGCTTTATTTTGGTATTGAAGAGGAACATCACCATATCTGGGACAGCACCTCCCAACTATCAATACTGCATTCCCATGCAGGCAGGCATTTAGCCAAAGATGTAAAACTGGATAATATTATAATGCAGAGTTTTGTTAAAACAAGCAACTTCTTATCTCTTGCATTTGCTTGATTGTAATATTATTCACATCTCAGTTGATAATAGACTCATGACGACCCTGAAACATTGTGTTATAAATCTTTCATTTTTCTTCTTAATATTGTAATGAAGACCTATCTTTTGTAAATTAACAAAGCAAGATTGAAGTTTCCTCTAATTTCCTTATACTAGTAGCACTGAAACTTTGCTGCTGTGTGCAGAACTTTACAGTATAACCTGTGCAAAGTGAAGGTCAACCTTGGGGAATGCTCTTTTGTTGATGAAACCACTCACCTGCAGCTAAACGTTCCTCTTGATTTTCAAACATTTTGACACCATTTCTATGGCTGATAAGAGTATAGACCATGGACAATTGTTGCCGATTTGTAAACATCTTTTGTCAAGTCACTTTTTTGACAATCTGTGTTTGGCTTTTTTTTTAAACATTTCTGGTGTCTGGCATGTGTTTCATCATTTACTTTCCCAAGACTATAAGTAAAATAAGTTACTAATACTACAAAAGTTGAACTAGAATGAAACATTTGCTGATATAAGTAAAAAGTAATCAATACATTATATTATAATACATTGCCTCTCTTTGGGATAATGTGAAAGTTTAGACATAGGAGAGGGCTCTGTAATGCATTGGTTTCTGGTTTGTGAACTTCAAATCTCGTTTATAGGGGTACCATTTCAAGACGCCATGTTGCACCTGTACATTTTCCATAGAAGTAGTCAGGAGAAGTTGTTATGTCCTCATGAATCTGGATATTTTTAAAACCGCATACTTTTTTGCACGAATCGGCCCTCCCTCCACACGAAACCTGTCAACGATGCCACTGAAACTGCATTATTTTGAAACTGCTGTCCAGATTTGTTTAACTCAGGGCCACGTCCTTACAAATCTGGATTTATGGCGTTTAAATAGAATGAAATTGTTGATAAAAGTACCCGTTTTAAGCAAGTGTGTCAACTACTTTTGTCCCTGATTGCGGCCTAAAAAAGGACATATATCAGATTTTTCGTGATTTCATCATTCTGGTTAGTCGATGCTGAGAGGCTTAAACAAGGTGGTTAACGGTTTATCTTGGAATGCTCTGAATTTGATCTTCATCTTCCTCCCATCCAGACGACAGCATTCGAAGACTGGTTTCAAATTGTTGAAACTCGTTGTAGTCGTTTTACTGTTCCACAGCGGTTTGCACTGTGGCAAGGGTTGGTTTTGTGTTCTGGCGGCATCTCTAAAAGTAACTCTGTTTTGTTCAAGGACGATCGATTGATCTGGAAAGAAGCAACAAAGCCAAATAAATAAACCGTTCGATATTGGAGGATCTGTCTCCCCAATTTCTCTCCGTAGAACTTGAATGGCCTCTTTGATCGGTTCTAAACAACGGCTAAGTTTTCCCCTTCCCAAGACGTGCAGTTTTTGGGTCTCAGTTGACCACACCTGGATGCGCAAACCTTTATATTTTCGCGCGCTTTCATAGTTTAACCAGCCTCCAGAACTGACGGAATAGGAACTTTTGATTACCAAGGTCTCACAGCAGCCAAGTAAATGAAATGCTACAGTCCGAACCTTGGTTGAGTTCGCGGTAAGAAGACCTCTAAAACAGTTTCTAACACTTGTTTCTTGAATTGTCACCCACGTGAAGAGTTTAGCGACCATGGGCCCGTTCCTTTGCCATACATCTACCACTTTTTCGTAGGTAAGGAATACTTTTGACGCTACCAAACACACAGAATAGATGAGAAATCAAATCTGTTGCGATGATGCGATGTTGTAAAAAGAACTTGGGCCATCAATACAGGAAAAAATCATATGTAGACATTCGTCTGGAAGAGACAAGATTGACGCCATGTTTAGTGAAGACGTCACGCAAATGGGCGATTCCAGAAAATATCCATACCATACCACGGACGGCTTTTAGGATTTCCTAAGGGGAGGGGGGGTTCACGATTATGGAATTCTGAGGGCATGGGGTTTTTTACGATTGGAAATCCGAAGGCATGGCGGAATTCCACAGGTGGGATTTCTGGAGTAGAAAGTGTAGAGTGAGTTCCTTGAAAACGCTATTGTTGTGGACTTTTGTAGTTCGTAAATAAAACACGAACGTATGACCGCGGAAGCAGAAGACAAGCATCGATAGATCAGACACGTGTTTATGCTCATAACTTATAGAAGTGAACAGTAAAACGTGGGTTTCACATTAACCTTGATGAATTTCTTGTCACATGAAAAAAAAACCGGAATATGTATCTTACTGCTTGCAAGTTTCTTGTTACTCCCGTCCGATGAACAGTAAAAAAACTCGCACCAGTCCCTGGCTTCCAAGGAACGCCTGTCAGATTAGAACACTTTTCGTGCACACTACATGACGTATAAAAGGACGCAGCACGCCTCGACGGTCTATTTGACCACCGAAAGATTTTAACAGTCTGAATTTGAGCTATTTTGGTTTGTAAACGTCAAAACAGCACAAGAAAACAAAGAGGAGTAAAATTGCCGTTAGTGGTGTTTATTTTTGTTGCCAAATTCTGACCTAAAAAGGAGTTTGCACAGCCTGTCTACTAGCGGTAGGTTAGAGTCTGAAAGCTTGTCGCCTGGCGCCGCTAGATCACAGCCTTGAGGAGGCATAAATTCATGTTCGTTTGTTCATATAGGCGTTGCTGAGTTGAAAATGTACTTCCAAAAAAACGGAAATTCTGAAGGGGAGGGGGGGTTCACGATTATGGAATTCTGAGGGCATGGGGGGGTAACGCATTTTGGAATTTCCGAAGGCAAGGGGGGGGATAAAACATGGAAGCCGTCCGTGGTTGGGTATGGATATTTTCTGGAATTGCCCAATATGAGCACGCGACTATTGTTTTTTATTTTAATCTTTTACTTCCTTGTTTCGCCACAGACGGCTCTAACTCATCGTTTCCTGCTAGTTTCACGATCCTGACCTTTAAAGCGATATTCTCCCACGCTTAAAGTCCGATTTAGACTCCATCCCAGGTCAAAAACTGGCAAATTTTGAAATGGTAGCCAAAGAAAATTGCTTACTTATCATTGAATTCCAATGCCTACCGGTACCTTGTTTTATATCCCTCAGCCTCGGTTCTAAGTATGAATTCTGGCTGGCCTATTGAACCACAGCATATGTGTACTTTGAATGGACCAGTTTCTAGCTCGACTATTTTTAAAAAAATGTGAACTTCAACAATTCTGGAAGAAGTGAAAAGGGACGTCAAGGAATAGATTGTCGGCATTGTCCACTTCCAGCCAACGTAATTGTGTTTACACCCTGTGTCATTAAAATATGCAAATCAGTTTATGATGCTTTGCATGATCTTCCAATTCAATATGGCTTCCACATTGTTGCTAACAGACGACTGTTTACACAAAATTGTTTCATACATAGATGACCCAAATTCTTTTTACAACATCGCTCTAACCTGCCAGAGACTTCTACAAGTGACCAGAAACACGAGAAGCGTCCTGCATACAAATCTGCTACGAGTAAAAGCTGAATACTACATCAAGTGTTTCACTGTCGAAAATGGCGATGATTATGAGGCATTTAGCAAGGTAGAAGCTTTCCTCCTCGAAGCCTCGCGACTTACAGAAGCAAAAGGAATGCTTTCCTATGACAAAGTGGTAGACATATGGCAAAGAAACGGACCGGTGGTCGCTAAACTCTTCACGTGGCTGAGAAGTAAAGAATCTAGCGTGGAAGAAGGCGAACCAAGAGCGACTTGTTTTACCGAATCTCGGAAAGTTACACTTCGTTTACCAAGCTCTGGAAAAACCATGGTGATCGAAACTTCGTATTTCAGGGATTATAATCATGTTTATGACCCAGAACTAAGCATTCACCTTACTTGTGGAGACCTGGATGTTACTTCCGAAGGTTTTACCCACTACTCTCCAGAAGATTACATGTATTGGGAAGAAGATGAAGTGAGCCGTGCAGTGCAGCCGATGAAAGCGATCATTGAACTTCTTCAGAAGGAGCTCGGCGAAACTGTTCCGCAGATATCAAGTCGCTTCTTTATTTGGCTGTGTTACTTCTTTCCAGACGAATCTAACCTGAATGAAGCACATCGTGTCAGGTTCAAAGATGATGGCAGAAACATGAAACCTACTTATGCATCAGTACAAACTACAATAGACCAGCTCCGAAAGGATCAGCAAATTGACGGCAAGCTGCAAAGGCTAATGTCAGGTTGGAAGAGTGATGAAGACCAAAAGTCCAAGTATTCCAGAATGGCTGCAGAAACAGTAATTATATTAGCTCAGAAGTCAAAAACAAATGTTCTCAAACGTCTAAAAGAAGATGCAAGTCGGTTTCATTTAATTGCCACTGACTACGACATGAAGAAATTACCAAAACAACTTCTGCTTGACCTGATACTTCGCCTGTCGTTAAAGGAAAGCGGCTATGGTGCTGCCTCGATTGCTGACAAGTGCGTTGAATCCACAGTATTTTTCAGATGCCATGGGAATAAACCCATGAAAGTGTGTGGCTCCATGCGTGGGGATGGGGCAGGACTCCCATCTTGGGACGAAATAGAGCTTGAGTTTACCCTACCTGATGGCAAAGTTTTAATGCTAGGGGGAGAAAATGAGCCATTACAAATTGAAAAGCTCAGCCCAGTTACAGAGCTTCTGCGGCAAGGTTTCAGTCAGCAAAGGCAAGGAGAAGAGCTTATCTCTAAGATCGGGAACTTGTTCACGGCTGCTTTCTTTTTGACCGCTTTGGAGTTCAATGTGGATTCAGACACTTTCTTAGGAGGATACAACAAGCTGATTCCATCAGATTCAGAGGAAGAATCATCAGCTGCAGAATCGTCTGAGGAAAGTGAGCCATGACATTGAAAACAGTCCAACCACCAGATAGTTGATATTTAACTCTAAAGCTTTTCAGTAGATGTTGATAGTACTGACCATAGGGCTCTGTGGAGCATTGAAAATGTAACTCCAGTGTGCCCCAAAAAAGTTTCGGACAGCCTGGGACTAGGGAGTGACCCATTGGGCTTGCGTGTTTTAGTATGAGTTGTTTGCCAGAAGTAAATGTTAGTGAAAAGGAAGGTTGTTAGGCCTGCATGACTGCCTGGGCTAGTGAAGGTCAGCAATGGCTTGCCCATAGAGCTAGTGAGTTTTTGTTTTTATGTTCATCTCACCCGGACTTCTGTGGCCTAATCTCATAACCTGCTTTCACTTTTGCTTAATTTCTATTCTCTTGATTATAAATTATTGGATTCACCTAAACCTGTAGACTGTCTAGAAATGTGTTTCATAGACTGCAGGACCACCAGTTAGTACTCTGTAAATTGATAATCTGAATCTTCAAGTACATATCATGGCTCTTTTCTTGTTTTCTTGACTGCAACAAAACCTGTATGACTGAGAAAAATCAATTTTCATGTTAATCATGATCTTTATTGTAGAGGTGATGGTTACAGACTGACGTGTCACAACTTGTTATGTTGCTGCTATATTAATTATAACATAATTATTATGTTGCAAAGAATACAGGTGAATATCAAGCCCATTGTTTTAACATTGTAATTACTGTTTTTTGTGCAGGCAAGAGTAATGACGGAGAAATAAATCACTGCAGTACTAGTTCCTGAAATTGACAATTTGTCACTGCATATTTTGTAGCAGTTAAAATACAACCATAAATTCTGAATAAAGACCGAAGCTCTTTATAGAGGAACAAAGTTATTTTACTTTCTCATGCAAACTAATGACAAAAATACTGTTTACACATTATTACTGATCACAACGGACTTTCACTTCCAATGCATTAAAGTATATACGTACCACTCAAGTTACCATGACCAAGACAGAGAGTCTCTATGACTCATGCAAAACAGGACTTCAGTCTGGTTCTTCCCCTTTCTTTGTGACCCGCACTGCATTCAAACCATGTGAACTCAGCTGATAAAACTAATTTTTTGTGTGTCTATATTTTCAGCTTTAGTTATCACTGAGTTGCCTTTGATTCCCAATTACTGTAACATTTTTTTCCCTTCGTTTTACTGTTCTTTACCCGCTTGTATTTAGATATTTCTTCTCTGTTTCGATTACACTTTTTTATTGTTTTCATTTCATTTTTCCATCCTTTTTTTTCCCTTTTTTTCTCCTCCACACCCCCTCAATTCTTTTCTTTAACCATCCGCATTTTTCATCCGTCATCCGTCATCCGTAGATATCCGGTTCCCGATTTACTGACACCCCTGTAGTTTACGGTTGTCATGGTTGTCTGAACATGCAAATTTCTAAATCACTTGTTCATGATATGTTTGCGTGACCCGACAATCTAATATGGCTCCCATATCAGTTGTGGCTAACAGACGATTGTCTGCTCAGAATTGTTTCATGTATTGATGACCCAACTTCTTTTTACAACATCGCATTAACCAACAGAAGACTTCTGCAAGTGACCAAGAGTGCGAAAAGCGCCCATCATAAGAACCTTTTACTGTTGAATTCCGAGTACTTTATTAAATGTTTGGTGGTCGAGAGCGGCAATGATTCCAAGTTATGGTGGCTTACTACAGTTTTCTTTGTTTTGTTTTGTTTTGTTTTTTTTTTTTCAATTCAAAGTAGACAGACTGCAAATTATAGTAGTTGCTAAAAAATATATCTACATGTCCCAACTGTTCATCAGTAGGATGCCTAAAATGCGTGCTATTCCACAAAATTATTGGTTTCGGCTCCATTCAATAACAGCGTTAGCGACGCGCGCTCAGCAAGCCACGCAAGATCTCTCACGCATACAAAACTCCCGCTAGCTAGACAAAGAAAACCCCGAGATCAAACGATATGAAAACCTTCCAGATAAAATTCCCTATTATCTTAGGGTTTCTCAAGACGTATTTTTGTAGCAAACTTAGATATTTAGGTTCAGAAAGTGTGAGTAAAACTTATTTTTATTACTGCTAGGTTTTAGCAGGTTTTCGGCTCAAGAATATGACAAAGAGATAAATTTTCGCACTAGCGTGTCACCTATGTTATATTCGACAACTGAAAAACGCCTTTTGAACAAGTGGATTGTAATCCGTTTTTTACCTGCAGTGTCTGTTCTAGTTTATGACTGATTTGTAAAAGACAACAGTCGCTTTTGCAATGAAAGTACTAACTTTAAATATGCGCTTGAAACAGACAAGAAAAAAATGTGAGCTTACATAAAATATGATTCGGCTTCGAGCCGAAGAAGCAAAGGAACACAACCAGATTAGATTGGGTTCGGTTTTTCAATCCGTTTTGCAAGTTATCATCAATAAATCCTAAATGTGTGAAGTCTAAAAATTATATGAATGTGAAAATAAAGGTTTCTTTAATGCCGTGGTTCTAAGAATAAAGCTAAGTCATATTACTTTGGTCAACACTACCACTTAAAGAGTACGAGATGCCGGATGCTCGCGACTTACAGAAGCCAATGAAATGCTTACTTATGAGAAGGTGATAGATGTATGGCCAAAGAACGGAGCTGTGGTCGCTAAACTCTTCTCGTGGCTGAGAAATAAAGAGTCCAGCCTGCAAGAGGGTGATCCGAGAGCGACTTGTTTGACAGGATATCGAAAAGTAACTTTTTGTTTACCTAGCTGTGGAGAAACAGGAGAAAGCCTGACGATACAGACCTCCTACTTCAGGGATTATGGTCATCATTAGGATCCAGAACTAAGCATCCACGTCACCAGTGGAGACATCGATGAAGGTTTTACCCGCTGCTCTCCAAAAGATTACTTGGATTGGGAAGAAGATGAAAAAAAAAAAAGAAGAAAATGAAGTGAGCCGTGCAGCAGTGCAGCCGATGAAAGCAATCATTGAACTTCTTCAGAAAGTGCTCGGCGAAACTGTTCCACCGGTAACGAGTCATTTCTTTATATGGCTGTGCTACTTCTTCCCAAATGAGTCAAACTTGAATGAAGCACACAGGCTAAATTTCAAAGATGCCATCAAGAACATGCAACCCTCTTTGACCTCCGCACAGGCTGCCATAAGTGAGTTCCACAATTATTTGCAAACTGCAACCAAAGTTCAAAAGCTAATGTCCAAGTGGGGGGTGATAAGCACCTTCAGTCCGAGTATTCCAGAGTTATAATGGAAATTCTCAGGATATTGACTCAGAAATCAGAAACAAGAATTCTAAAATGTCTGAAAGGAGATGCAGAGAGGTTTCAAGGAATTGCTTCCTATTATGAGTTGAAGAAAGTGCCAAAACAACTTGTCCTTGAGTTGATTCTTCGAACGTCTGTAAAGGAAAGTGACCATGGGCCTGGATCAATTGCTGACAAGTGTGTTAAAGGCCAAGTAATTTTTAGGTGTCATGGATGCGAAATCATTACAGTGCGTGGTGTAATACATGGTGATGGCGCAGGGTACCCATCTTGGCACATATTAGTACTTGACTTCACCCTACCAGATGGAAAACCTCTAAGGTTATATGCACGGCACACGCCATTGCAATCTGAAAGTCTTCACCCTGTTACAGAGCTTCTACAACAAGGTATTAGTCAGCGAATGAGAAAAGCGCATCCCTAAGATTGATAACTTGTTCACAGCTGCGTTCTTCTTGTATGCTTTGAAGTTTGGTGAAGCGGCAGAAACTTTCGTAGGAGAAGAAGATGAACTGTTTCCATCAGACTGAGAAGATGAATCAACAGCTGAGGATTTACCTGAGGAAAGTGAAACATAGTAATTAAGTCAACCAACTGCCAGACATTTAGCTTTCCTTTCCACTTCTTTCAGCATACATTTGAGACAGCTGACACTTTCAAATGCCATTGACTATTTTCGTTAATAAAATTTACCTGGCCATGCTGCTCAATTTCATATCCATTTGTCGATAACATAAGCTGATATAAGGTATAAAATACGCTTTTCGAAGAAGTAATCCGGATTGGAAGTTATGGTACAGTCGAGCCTCTCTTATATGGACACCGAAGGGACAGAGCGAAGTGTCCGTATTAGAGTGGGGGTGTCCTTATAAAAGAGGTCACTATGATGACGTCACTTTTATGAATCCACATACAGTTTGAAGTTTCAGTAGCTAAAACCAGGCTTACACTCGTCTTTAAACTGCATTTAAGTTTATTAATTCGCAGTACAACAACACTGTCTTTCAATAGCATGCAATATTGTACATATCAGCTACGTATGACAGTCGTCAGAAGACAAAACGAGCTACAGCGCAATGCTTCATGCAAGAAGTTGTAACGTAAAGCACTATTCTGAAAGTTTCTTTCACTATTTTGCAAGTGCAGTAAACGGTTACTAGAGTACAAAGTGTAATAGAAAAATCAAGTTATCCTATCGATAGTTATTCAAGCCTTAAAAAAGTCGGTTGTGTTCCTCTGTACACCTTTTGCAAATCGTCGTTTGATATACAGCGACGGGCTCTTGAATTCACCTTGCATAGCTCATCAGCCAGACAGGATTCACCCTGTGCACATTCTGATTGGGATTCGGGATACACCTGATCACCGCAGTGTCCGTAATAAAGAGGTTAAGTTTATATGAATTTACTCTCTGGGGCCGAGATTTAGTGTCCGTTGTCCGTATTAGAGAGAGTCCGTATTATAGAGGTTCTTTTAAAGAAAATATATGAGAATTTTGTCGGGACTTTGGAAACAGTGCGTAATATAGAGGTGTCCGTACCGAGAGGTTCAACTGTAATAAATTGATAAGGACAAAAGTCAACGCCCAAAGATCCCTGGGTAGAATAACAGGATTGACATATTCACCACTCCTTCATGGCTTGATAGTCCCGGCCCTTTGTCGAAGGTATTGTGTGGGTATATATAATTCTGACAGTTCGATCACATTTATGCCCCAGTCAAAGGGACGGTCACAACATTGCCTCAACAAATGTAAACAGACAAACTTGTAAATAATCACAAAGTTTAAACAAGCGCTTCAACACAGTGTCAAACCGGTTACAACATCGGTTTTCAACAAATGTTAGCAGGGGCGAAGTTTTAAAGAAATATATTGCAACTGTTTGACCGTAGCTTTACCGATCATGTGAAAACAAATAATTTTAGAGCCGCAATAATTTGGTTTTCAGAGAGGATTTCTTTTGAGAAATGACTAAATATAGCCCTTCTGAACAAGCCAGTTGATCAAACCAAATTCTGTGAAGTTTTTTCGTAACTAACTAATCGCTGCAAGGTCCTACAAAGCACTGCTTCTGAAATTATAGCTTGTCTTGTTTTAGCCGCTCCAGTGGTTTTAATTGTATGCCTGATAGCGTGTTATGCATCAAGCAACTTTAAATTGCAAATTACAGAATGCGGTCTGTGCTTCTAGAGGCATGGCGTCAATTTTATCTCTCACCGATGACTGTCTCTTCAAAATTGTTTCTTACATAGACCATCCGGGTTCCTTCCACAGTTTTATTCTCACCTGCGGGAGATTTTCTCAAGTCACTCGAAAAGCAAATAGCATCTTGCATACAAACCTTCTGAGAGCGAAGGCCGAATTTTTTATCAAGAGCTACATTGTCTACGACATTGGCGAAACAGCTAATGAATGTGACAAGTTTGACAAATTACAAAACTTCCTGCACGAATCTGCACAGCTAGTAGCGGCAAAGGAAGTACTTACTTATGACAGAGATGATGATCTCAGAAATGGTCCGTTTACTATCTCAGAGATCGGAAGCAAAAATCCTCGAAAATTTACTGACAAATGCTTCGAGGTTTTGGGACATGTACTACAGCGACATCTCACACGTATTTGGCATGACGAAATTGCCAAAGCGGCTTCAGCTTGACTTACTTCAACAAACATCGATAACAGAAAGTACTTACCACCATGTAAATACCTCTGACAGATATGTAGAGAGCAAAGTTTATTTCGCCTGTCCAGGTGGCGAAGTAATGAAAGTGTGTGGCTGGATAGTAGGTTGCAATAATCAAGACGGAATGCTGGACATACCATACTCGGATTTAAAAATCGAGTTTACTCTACCAAATGGTACAATGTTAAAGTCAGAGTCGGAAAATGAATTTTTTTCAGATGATCCATTAGAAACTGAAAACCCGAGCCCAGTTACAAAACTTCTTCTGGAGGCGTTTAGTCAGAACATTCAGGGACAAAAGCTCCCCGTGGAAGTTGATAATCGGTTCTCGGCTATTTACTTTCTTACTGCCTTGGGATTTCTTTTCTGTATGGACACTGAGCATAGACTTATTCCGCCACTGTCCGATGAAGAGTGGTTCTCAGATTTTGATGAATCATAAAAACTTGTAAGTAACCACTGAATTATGGTGTTAAAACTAGGGTATCTACGTAAAAGATAGTAATGCTGCGGCATGTTCTGTTGATACTGGCGTTAGTTAGGCAGTGAGACTTAAAAGAATCGAAAATGACATTGAATGTCCTATTTACATGTTGGAAAGTAATAATTACTATCAGTCTAATAGAAAGAACTCGTGGGAACGTTGTTTAGAAAATGATCAAGTGGTTATCAACTCTGGTTTTCCCACAGTAAATTGTAGGAAATGATAGAAATTCAGATTGTTTATCCATATAATTATTTTAATAAGGTGTACTATCTTTTCTTTGGAAACACGATACTTTTCTTGCTGTTTATTGCACTTTATTAATTAACAGTTATTTAGGTATATATTTATAGAAAACAACAACAAAAAACCGGAAAAAAAAGAAAGAAGAAAAAATGAATTAAGTAGGACTCGAACCCGGCACCTTCGGCTCAACGCGATTACACCAAACCAATGCACCACAGAGGTTGATTACGCGACTTAAGGGAAAAGTCTCTAATTTAATGCCTTTTCCATGAAACTTCCGCCGGCAAGATGATCGCCAGCCGCATTAACCGAGCTATTAACAGTTAAAAAACAATGTAGACCCATAATCCATGGCAATGAATGAATGAAAGAACATAATCAGTGATAATTATACCTTTCAAAACGCCGATACACGTCCTCGTCTGCAAAGTAGGATGCAAAATATATGTTTTGTTATCTCGATTTCCGCTGTTATTTTGAAGCTAATGGTCAAATCACATCCATTTTCGGCTCATACAGGTTCTTAAGAATAGCATGGCATGACATTTTCTCACTTTCACATCACCTTCTAGCAAGCTGTTATTTGTATATCCCCCGTAGTGTTGCGGAGTCGAACAGCAAATGCTCATCTTCTCGCCAATCCCCAAGTTAACCATCGTACTCATCTGAAAGACTCCTGCGTGTCTTAAATTTAGTAAGACCTCTAACCGTGCTGCAGAAAATTTGCCACAAAGAAAACTCAGAGTCTGGGCAGCGAACGATGCACTCTCTCGCCCACCCGAACTTCCTCGTGTTTTTATTTGACTTGTTCGTGGCGCAATGCATTCTGGTAAAAAGTGTGGTTAAATGCAATGCATTGTGGTAAAAAGTGATGAATAGGCCATTTTACAGTTATGGATGGAACCGAGGCTGAGGGTGACCTTGTTTTGATACTAACCTTCTTGCTTTATTATGTAAATCAAGTTATTCTTATGCTTACTAGTATTTTTCAAGAACAATTTCCATAACAAAGCGAAGAAGGTTTGTATCAAAACAAGGTCACCCTCAACCTCGCTTCCATCCATAATTGTAAAATGGCCTATTCGAGAATTCGTCTCACCTTATATATTTCCCTTAAATCCTGATTATGTTGCTGCTCGCTCCCTACGGTCGCTGCGCAACAATTACAAAGCACTTTGACTGTGTTTGCTTAAATGCTGCAAATAGGGCTCGTGCTTACAGCGTTTGAGAAGGGCTCTTTACTGAGAATTAAAGTTATCTCTGAAGGTTACGAAATATACGTTACAAGGAAAACTTTCACGATTTTAACCATCTGCTTTTAACTGTAAACTGAAAATGACATTCATTCGATTTTATTCCCTGAAGCACTTGTCTATTCATCGGAAAGTATAATAATAACGATACTGTCAATGATAGTGACGATGACGGTGAGGATGACGATGACTACGATGATGATGATGATGATGATGCGCGCCTAAGCATGTCTGCGGGGGAGGCTAGAGACTAGATGTCATGCCACGCATTTTTTTTAATTTTTCAATTGCGTCTCTGTACACGCATTGCGTGCGTACTGTTCGGCTGAGAGAAACTTGGGGTCTGGCACGAGACGAGTTTACCATCAACATGGCGTCCATTTTGTCTTTGCCAGAAGAGTGTCTCTGTAAAATAGTTTCTTTCATTGATCACCCTCGTACTTTTTACAGCGTCGCTCTCACCTGCAAGAGACTTCTTCAAGTAACTAGAAACACAAGATGCGTACTACATGCACGCCTTTTAAAGTTTAAGGCCTTGTATTTTATCCGCCGTTACGATGTTGAGATTGACCTCGATGAGGAAAAGCGCGATAAAATGAGGAAACTAGTTTGTAGTTGTGCACAGCTTACAAAAGCCAGAGAGTTCCTTACCTACGATAAAGTAATCGATTTATGGCAAAAAAACGGGCCTGTGGCTGCGAAACTCTTAACGTGGGTTAGAAATCAACAAGATGGCGATGAAGTATTTTTTCGTGATGACTGGGATGGCTTTATAACCATTAACAAGAGTCAAACTTTAACACTGCGGTTACCGGGTGGCGGACAAACTTTAGTGATCGAGACTGACTACGTTGAAGAATATCCCATTGAAGAAGACTCAAAGATAACAATGGTCCACATAACAAGTGAAGATTTACAATTGGATGTTACGTTCAAGGAGTTTCACTGCTGGTCTTCAGTTTCATTTCACGACGATTATGGTCAGCCCAAATACTTGGATTGTGTGGATTTAGATGACGATGTACATTTATCGAAATACGATGCCAAATTTGCACCATTAAGACCAGTAATTCATATTCTTCAAAAAGAACTTGGCGAGACTGTTCCTCCAATAACAAACTATTTCTTTATTTGGCTTTGTTACTTTTTCCCTGACAAATTAAACTTGCATGAAGAACATAAACTCATCTTTAAAGATGCTGCAAGCAACAGAAAGCCCATGTATGCCTCTATTCAGCCTTCCCTGGATGAATACCAAAGGCTTCAACAGTTCGAAACCACCTTCAGGAAGCTGTTCTGTGAATGGGAGGATGACCAATCAAACGAATCATACAATGCCAGGATGATTGCAGAAACAATCCATTTGTTAGCTCAGAGATCACAAGTGGACACACTTAAAAGTCTGGGAGAATATTTCCTTCAGGCTGATTGAGACAAAGCTTACCTTGCGAGCAGAGGTTTCTTTTCGGGCATAGCTTTTAGCATTTGTGAAATTGTTTGCATCACTGTTAGTCGTGTAGTTGGGGGTGTAAACAAACCAACTACACGACTGACACAAACAACTTCATAAATGCTGAAGGCGATGTCAGAAAGAAATGTCTGCTCAGAGCGTAGACAAAACTAAGTGGACCAGCAAGACATAAAGTTTAGAAAATACAATAATATTGAAACTCTACCTGCATCCACCGTTGTACAACAGCCTCTTTTCCACAATGGCCAATTTTCTTTGTCTTAAAGGTGACCACTACATAGAGGTTGAACTGTATCGATTACAACAAGTACTGTAACAAAAACAAAAGTGAACAGATTGCTTACTGTAATAACATACGCAGTAAATTAATGCACGGTTTTGACACAGGGTACAACTCTGCGTTTGGTTGTGTTAAAAGATTTACATTAAAGTTCTGTTGTGTTAAAATAAAATCACTGTTACCTACCTTGATTCACCATGGCCATACATTAAATTCTTCCTGACGCTGTTCCTACATAGCCTGCGCCACAGACAAAACTAAATTCTGGTTAAGTCTATCTTGTTTTGAGCCCCCTCCTGTGTACCAGGATTTGAGTATGCGCCATGATTGGCTTAGTAGTTACAAATGCCATCGTCAATTTGCTTATCAAGATGAAAGGAAATTCAAAATGCACTTCTGGTAATTTTTTGAGCCTGCTGGGTGCCCAGAACAAGCATATTGGCACTGCTTCGCAGATGCTACTAACCAAGGTTAAATTACATCTGCAACGCAGGATATTCCTGCAGAGCTGTCACCCTTTAACTGGTTAAATAAAGTGGCCCTAATTCCTTGATGCTGTTAAAACTCCAAATGCAACCACAGGACTGTAAAAATACCAAAATTTTCCTGGCAAAGCACCTTTTTGGAACCTTAAGTCACCACTATTAGATCATTTTTTGGTGAATTTCCATTGTTTTTAACCCTGTAAGTACCCACTTGACATAGTCTTATTTTGTTCACTGTCTGTATGTATTATTCAACTCAGAGTATATGAGAAACCTTTAGTGACAACATGGCACTGCTGGTTCCGTAACTCAGAAACCGTGTGCCCATAAAATCCTCGTGGAAATGAGTACTTGTTTCAGACCTGTTTGAGGTAGAGAGCTCCTAAGCTGCACCCATAAACTTGGGCATTGTGGGTCATCAATTATCGGAGGTTCTACTGTACTTGTTTTCATCCAATTATTGGATAAAAGTGAAATTATTTTACTTTTATTTTATAGACTTGTTTTAAAGCATTTGAATGTTAAACTGACCCACCAAGATTAGCACTAGCTACCTGCAAGCCATCAACTTGTAAAAAAGTAAAAACCAAGAAAATTAATGTTGTTGTTGTGGTATAATGTGAATACATATTGACTTTGGACTGATAATTTTTACATATTATTCAAAGAGTTGTAAGGACCTGTGATTATGCTTACTCAGCTCGATATAATCATGCAAATAACTATAACAAATTTTAATTAAAGGATTTTGACCTTTGTAGTAACTATTCGCATTAATGTATTGCCTCTCTTTTCCTTGTAGTGATGTGAAAGACACACCCTTGCCTAATCCTTTGAATGAAATCGTAGAGCACCTCAAGTGAGTAACCTAATGAAGTTTTTATTCACCCTCATCTTTATTATCTGGGATGGATCCAGGAAGTTTTTTTGGAAATGTCCAAACTGTTGACAATTTTTTTCATAGCCTGGTAACAGCGGTATAGCATTTCCACCCTTTCTTGCTGTTACCCCTTGGCTTTTCGAAGTTAATGATCTTTGTGATCAGTTGTAATGGACTCTCATGATCTATTATGTTTCTGGTGTGATGGGTGCATTTAGAGGGTTTGGGTCCCTTTGACCCATCCAGGGGAATTTAGGAATTTCTGGGTGGGATGTGCCCCTGGGACCCTGTAACCCTTAACCTATACCAGAGCTAGTTCAACTTAATTTTGCTACCCTATAGTAGAGTAAACTCCCCAAATACCCCCTATCCTAGAGTAGCTGTTTCTCTAGTCTAGATAAAATCTTCAACAAACTGATCCGTTTCCTGAAAAATGATACCTTATTCTAGACCCAAACGTTCTGATTTATATATCCTATTCTAGGGTAAACTGCTTGAAAACCATACCCTTCACAGCGGCACATACCTATATAACCCATATATGGCAGTACCCCCCCCCCCCCCCGGCACCCATCCTCCTCTGGTTCCGTTTTGCTGTTATTATTACTGTAGCAATGAATAGGCTAATAAGGAAAATAAAACTACTTTATTGGTACTAAATTTTGCTGGTACTTAATTTCACAATTTTAACAAGTAAACATAAAAAAGGGCATTAAATTTCGTGATTTAAGCGTTCTCAACTTCACTCTCTTTTTTTAAAAAAGACCAAACCTTTAGGAAAATTAGATAAACTGGAACAAGTAATGTGTGAAATCTATGCAAACTAATGTCATTTCACAATTGAAGATACAAAATGGAGCTTACCAGTAAAACCAGAAAGTAATTTGTTTTTATCGATACACATCATTGCTATTACATGTCAACTGTTATTTGAATTTTCTATAATGGGTATTAAATTTTGCATGCTTTTCAATTTTGTGAGGATTTATTTCTGCTGGTCTTTAATTTTGCACAATTTAAGGCCCATGAAATTAAGTACCAATTAGGTATAAACAAATAATTATTTGCCTGTATGAAACTTTTAAAATCCCTCAATGTATCACTCTTTGCCTTCCATTCATAACAAAAGTGCTGCTGAAAGCAACACAATAAAATATTACATTCACTATTTTAACATTGCTTATAGTACTCCTTGTGTACCCCCTCTACCAACCCCCCTCCCCCAAAATAAATTGCTTAACCATTGTTTTCCATTTCTCCTGTGTATCACAGTTATCCCAAGAGAAAGTAAAAACAATGGTTATGCAAAATTTTGGGAGGTAGACGAGGTGTAATATTCGCAATGTGAAAAAATTGAATTCCTGGAGTTTGGGAACAAGTAAAACTGTCTTAAGTGCAGTCTTCCTCTGCCTTTTTTTCCTGTGCCAACAGTTTGTGTTCCCTGCTTTTACCATCCTTTTAAATGTGCATGTTGTCACAATAGCCTGCACATAACACCATCCCTCCTTCCCAGGCTGAGTGAAAGGCTTGGCCAGAAGGATAGCTTTGCTACAAAATCTGTGTATATAATATGGTTAATTGTGTTTGCGTGCTTAATTAAGCTCACCCTTTGGTATCTCTGTAATGGTAATAGATAGAGATGGATTTTTGTAAAATGAAACTGATATTTGGGTTTTATGTTTTAAGGAAATATGTCAAGGAACAGAAAGATCATAAGGATGAGATTTCTAGAGCATCTGGTAGTGCACTGGATAAAGTGCGAGAAGAGACCCTAGCTCTAAGACAGGTACTCTTCTGGTCTAGTAACCTTAACTTTCTTTCCTTTTATATTTTCTTTATATTGTTCATTATTTGCCTTGCTAATTTAGGGGCCGACCATTTATCGTTTGAGAAGCCTGTTTCTGTGATGGACATTCCCCCCACCCCCTTCTTATTTTTTGGTGTTAACAGAAAGACAATTTTTTTTGCTTAAAGACTGTTTGCACTATATGCAGCATTTTTTTTTAATTCCCCTCTCTTCGCAATTATGACATGTTTATGGATATTTTTTGCAGGCTTTAGCTCTGGTATCTAACAGTATCCAGAGAGATGGATGTGCTGTCGAGAACCTCAAAATGGATGTATCACAGGTGCAATACTAAGTGTCTTCAAAAATATGTAGAAAGAGTCGCCAAGGTAGAAAAAGTGCTAGTTTGATATTTCTTTGTCTAAGAAGAGTACAGGTTAATGGGGGCCATGAGGGCAAGACGAATAATTGTTATAGTAAAATCCAACAAGTTGGTCAAAATATCAAGACAAAACAACTTTAGCTAACAAAACGCGATTCAGCCGCCATTCTTTTGGTTTTCACAGCCGACGCTTTTCGCTACTAGTGGGCTATAACATATAGCCTAGTAGTAACTCAACTAATCCGAACGTAGCATTGATAATAGACCACTAGTTGGATTTTACTAATAAATGATAGACTCTATCAATCAATCACGATTATAACACTTCATTAGGACTGATTCGGGATGATTTATTCACGTCTTGGATTTTTTTTTATCTTGGCTGCATGACCTACAACTTCTTGTACTTGAGCTTTCCCAGTTTGCATTTTAGTTCTTTATAGAGAACTGATACCACCATCTTCGCTAAATCCAATAATAGTCTATGAGCCCCAACCTCGAACCCAGGGTTCTTTCCTACCCGTCCCTACGGAGCGAGAGAGACGGGTAGGAGAGAGAACCTGGGAACGAGGTGTTATAGGCCCCTCCTCTCAGATAAGCCCCCTGTCGCTATTAAGCCCCTCCCCAAACAGTTAAGAAACCAAGAAAAAGACCAAATTGAACCCCTCCGTTGCGTAGGAATTACCGCTTATGGTGAGTTTAAACGGCTGCCGGAAGTAGAGCTGTCCGCTTACCTGAATTTCCTTCTTTTTCTTTTTTGCTTTGCAAAATGAATGAATGAATGACTTAATTTAAACACGGTCATCTCATCAGCACTGCAAACACTATTTCTTATAAAAATCTAACTACTATAATACATTAACATTATTCAGTAAAGACTGAGAGTAGGTAAATATAGGTAGTCTGTGTTATAATGGATGGTCGATTGTATGACCCATGGGCGGAAATACAGTTGAACCTCCACCAACGGCCACCTCTCTACAACGGCTATTTTTTTTGGTTGACAGTTCATA